ATTTTTAAAATCTCTAAAATCGAGGATTTTTTCTAATTCGCTTCAAATTAGGATTTTGAAAACTAACAATTTTAGAATATAGTTAAACACATCCTTGTTTGAATATTTTCTAAATTTTTTGTTTTTTTCATATATATTAAAATCGTGGATTTTTTTTCCAAAAGTTTTTTTTTAATAAAAATTAATTTTTAAAAAATATTTTCCAAAGATTTGCTATTGCTTTTAAGTCTACACTCTTCCGTTTAAAGTCCCCCATTGTTCACTTCCATTCTCTATTGTACCATAAAATTCAATGAACCGAAGAAAACAATTGAGCAAAAATATGATCCACTAATTAAAAATCCGTTTTTATTCGGGATATCCGCAATTGCTGGCTGGCTGGCTGATGATGTTATGACAGACTATCAAAGTTATTGAAAGGTAATTATTTTTCATATATTTTTTTTGTGCAAAATTTATAGTGTTCAAAGTTGTTGTTGTTTTTTTTTTCAATATTTTTGATTCGAACAATGTTTGATTTGCTTGCAACAATTGTTAAAAGTCATTAATTTGATTTATGATCCATGATCAATTATTATTTTTTAACTCATTTTTATGAGACCTGCTGTCTGTCTGTCTGCCTGTCCGTATTGGCCTGGGTTTGGATTGGAAATCACAATCGGTTTTTGTTACTGTTTCACGATTTAAAAAAATATTTACATCTGTCCATATGAATATTTGCCTTTGCCCAGGCTGTGTAATGTTGTTCTGGTAGCCGTTTCGCATTCTAAAAATAATCTCCAGAACAGAATTGTGTAATAAAATCGACTGCTGCCTCTAGGCAGGTAGTCTTGATGAATATTTACGTAAGAACAGGTGTGAAACAATATTTTTTACAATTTGTAAATATGTTGTTGTTTTTTAATTTAATACAGATGTTAATTGTTTAATACAATTGGTAATTAGCCTATTACAGAAAAAAAACTTGTGTAAGGATCGAAAACGACAGGTTATAGCTTTGTGCTTTAGAAAATATCCATTTATAACTGGGATGGATGGACTTTTGGGAACATATTTTAAAAAAGTCTCATTTATACCTCATATATTTAAAAAAATTGTTTTTCTGTCTCAAATAGTCCTTAAAATAATTATTTAAAATTATGTTAAAAAGCTCCACATTAATCCACTCTTCCTTCAGAAAATATTTTGAAAAAGTCCATATCTGGGGATCAGATGATTACTTATTTTTTTAACCAAAAAAATCTCATTTATACCTCATATAGTCCTTTATACCTCATATATTAAAAAAAACTTTTTCTGGCTCAGATAGTCCTTAGAAAAATTTTAAAAATATTTTGAAAAAAAACTCCACTCTTTAGGTACTTCAGAAAATAGTTGAAAAAAAAAACATATTTGTGGATTAGATTGTTATTTATTTTTTAATAAAAACAAATCCCATTTATACCTCATATTGTTTCTGTCTCTGATAGTCCTTGTTTAAAAATATTTTGAAAAAACTCCACATTCACCCACTCTTTAGGTCCTTCAGAATATATTTTGAAAAAATGCATATTTGTTGATGAGATAATTATTTTTTTAAACCCACATCTGGGCCTCAGATAGTCCTTTAAAATATTGTTTAAAGAGTTCACTTTTGTGGCTCAGATAGTCCTTAAAAATCTTCTTAAGAAAATCATTTTTGTTGCTTTTCGGGAAATATTGTTTAAAAAATCTAGATTTAATGCTTTTGAGTCCTTTAGAGAACCCAGAGATGATGAGATGAAAAAACTGCAACCAACTTCAGACTGCTGTCATTTCTAAGCCACTCGTCCGACAGCTGTTAAAATTATTCCAGTGACAGCTTATTATATTCGGCCCTATTACGGTTATCGTCGGCGTCGCAAAATGAAGTCGAGGCGACAATAATGATATTAGGGTTGTCGTTTTTTGTCGATAGCGACAAATGGTTGCCATTATCATTGTCGATACAACAGTCGACGTGAAGTCGATTTTTGAGAATTTCTGTCGCCGTAAAAAATTGTGACGACATAGTACTTTTTAGTCGACGTTGATATTGTAAGCATTTTGTATTTGATATTTGACCATGAAAATAACAACAGCAAAACAATTTGAACTTTTGGTTTCCGAATTGATTGAGGATTTACCAAAGGTCATGTTCCAGCAAATTTTAATTCACATTGGGAATCCATTACTACAAAATTAAATGTAAACGGGCCTCCGATTAGAGACTCCGATGGCTGGCAAAAAGTATGTAAAAATTAAAATTATTTTTGTATGTTTTTATTACTTGGTTTTCTAAAATTCTTCTAGGTTTGGAAAGATTAAAAATTTAAAACTAAAAAGAAACTTGTGCACAACAAGGGTGAAACCAGCAGAAATGGAGGTGGCATTTTTAGGCAAATGAGTTTGTCGCCTTTGGAGGAGTCTGTCGCGAATATAATGCAGTTTCAAAAGTTATGGAATCCACCAGGTCGTGCACTTGGAATAGAAGATAAAGAAAACATAAGTGTAATAGACGTTATAGTTCATGAAAATGAGCAAGTGGACAATGCTGAAAAAACAATGTTAAAAAGTCACCAAGGAAAGCAGAAACTATTGAACTCTCGAAAGAGCGGCGTAAACTTTTGGAACAACACAATCAAGAGCCAGGCAATGCAAATATGTTTGTTGGCTGCCTTAACACTTGCCGCTGCACTACAAAAACATTCTTCTCTTCATCCTCACTTGAACTTAAGATATGTAACGCATTTATAATCTTCATTTTTTCACTATATTTTTTATTTTTCCGAAAGAGTCCAAATTAGAATTCAAAATACCAAAAAATATATATTTTTTTGTCAATAACAAGGAAGTGTTGCCAACTTTTATTTTAAACTGTCGATGTCGCTTCTATGCCTTACCATAATACCATTTTTGAATCGAAGCGACGGCGAGGGCGACTCGCACATAAAGTCGACGACGACTATAGTAACGACAACCATAATTGGGCCGATTGTTTACCAACGTTCAAAAGCATTATGGTGAGAATTTTCCAGAAAAAAGTTATTCGTGATGAAATTCAAGCGTAATAGTGAGATTTCTTTATGTTTGGCTGGAAAACCACAGGTGGCTTTCGTTAGAGCACTCCAGCATTTAAATGTGAATAAATCTTTTGTTTATCGTTCCAACGCTCGTTTCCTTGATACTGGTAGCGTAGGCCGACGTCAAGGAAGTGGACGGAAGAAAACAGCAACAACATCAGCAGAAATGGTCTGAAAAGTAAAGAAGCGACATGATCGAAATCCGCGTCGCAGTGGCCAAAATATGACTCGTAAGCTGAACATATCGCAATATTCCATTCGGCAAATATTGAAAAATGAGCTCGGGGTAAAGCCATTTCAAAAAGTGCAAGAACTTAAACCGCAGCCGGAGAAAATAGACTCAAAAGATCTAAAGAGTTGCTTCGCATGGCCGAAAGTGCTGAACTGCCGAATTTGGTTTTGCCAAAGAGGTCAGCTGAAAATTTAGACCTTCGGTGGGCCACCAGAACTCAAGCGCCGGCCATGGTGATGGTATGGGCCGCCATAACAGCCGTTGGCCGCTCTCCGCTCGTATCAATCAACCGTGGCATCAGAATAAATGGCGAATATTATGGCGAAAATATTCTGGAGGGTGTATTAAAGCCTTGGGCACGCAAACATTTTGGCCGCAGACCTTGGACATTCCAACAGGACTCAGCACCATCGCACTCAGCACGCGCCACCCTAGAATAGTTTCAAAATGAGATTCCTTGCTTCATTTCCAGCGTACAATGGCCACCAAAATCTCCGGATACCAATCAGTTGGACTATTGTGTCTGGAGTATTTTGGAAGGCAAGGATAGCACTAAAAATACCAAAGTGTCGATCACCTCAAGAAAGCGCTTCGCTGGGAATGAGCCAAAATGCCGTAGAACAGCGTGTGACGGTTTCATTGGCCGTTCAAAGGCCATTATTCGTGCCAAAGGTGACCAATTCGAACAAATTTTAAACTTATTCTAAAATTTGATGTTATTTCCGACATTTTTTGCTTTTATTCAATAAAATTTAAAAAAAAAAGTAAAACATGTTATGTTATATCGTTGCAGTTTTTTGATCTCGCCTTCGTCCGATTTACGTTTTATTGTCCAAATGGGATGGAATTTGGCACTTATTACCAAATTGGGCCTAGAAACAAATATGTCAAATTTGATGAAAATCAGTTCAGACATAACTATAGCTCCCATATATATTGTTCATCCGATTTGTCATTTTTGTTCTCCACAGCCGTAATATGCACTCCGTGACTACGATATTCGGGAAATTATATCAAATACAGCTCGGAAATACCTTTGCCAAATTCTATCGAGATCGGTTCAGATTTGCATATAGCTATATATAGCCCATATATATCTTTATCCGATTTCAAGTTAATTTTGGTGCACAATTAATTTGAAATTAAATTGGTAATATAAGCCCGAATTGAATTGAAGGCACAAATATTATGCGAAGCTCTACTAAATATGCAAAGGGGGATAGGGTATCATAAATGCGGGCCCACCCGACTTTAAGATTTTCTTTACCGATTTTCTATGATTTGATTTTCTTTACAATTGCCTTTTGCAAGCATGTAATCATTAATTACAAAGTTCTAAGTTTTAGTTTCAATAATTAAAGCATAGTTTTAGGCTCAAATGAAAATAATCAATCTCTATAAAATTGCAAACTTATTTTAATACTTCATCAGCATTAATTTAGCTGTTTAAAGAGATTCAAAAGAAAACTATCATTTTTTAATATCTCAATATATAATTTATTTATTTACTTTTTTTATGTTCTTTTTTTGTTATTGATTTTTTTATTTTTATTAATATTCAATTATTTCTTATTTCAATCATAAGGTGCAGATTAAAAAACTGCACGTTTAAAAGTATAAGCAAGTTTTTTTTTTTCTTTTTTTCCTATATAATATATGTAATTGTTGTTGTTGGTTAATTTGTTTGATGTTGTTTGTTTTTTGTTATGATTTAAATTTACACTAAGGTACATTTTTATGGTGTCATTCTAGAATTTATGGGGTTTTTGTTAATGATTTATTATAGTTACCGTATAGAGGTTTTTTGCATTAAATTATTTCTTAAAAAATAGTAACAAAAATAAATGTGTACACAAATGGTAACAAAAATTTGAAAATATAATTTGTTGTATTTTTTGTGTTATATAAATATTTATAGATTAATTTAAAATTATTTCATTATTCCATTGGATTCAATCATTTGTAACAAAAAGGCCATATTATTTAATTATGGGAAATAAATAAAAAGTATATTAAGATTTTTGTATTTAAAGAGGATAGCAAAAGCACTCGAGGACAATCGGTTTATTGTAATGTTCAAAAGACAAGAGTGTAATGGGCGAATAAAAAGAAAATTATAGAAGTTAGAAGACATGTACTCTTGAAGAAAACTTTCCAAACATATTCTCGGAAAGTCTAATTCGACATAAAAATATGGAGTTCCATGTTCACGTAACATACTTCTGTCCGTTGGAAAGGGAAAATGACATAGAGGATGTCCAATTTCCTATACATCTTAGAGAAGACCATTATATAAACTCTTCTTACAAATCAAAGAGGACGATAATTGCTATATATCGAAGTAAAAAAAGAAATTATTGGTCAGAAAAGATTTTTTTTAAAAATTGTTTTTTTTTAAAATTCGGACAAAACTTGCGGATTTTAAATGTCCGCAAGTTTATATAAATAACTAACTATAAATATTTCTCTGAAACTTGCGGGTTCTCCCAAAATATCATTTTATAAAATCGGACCAAAAAAAACTGGATTTCTAAAAAATAATTTCCTTAATTTCCAGACCAAAAATCGTAAATTTAAAAAAAAATATTCTTAAAAAAAACATTTTTCATTAAAAAAACGGCTAAAAATCATATATTTTTTTTAAAATTTATTTCTAAAAAATTGGGATCCAAAATAGGTATTTGAAAACTTTTGATTTTTGAACCAAGGGGTGGGATTTTTTTTAAATATTTTCCTAAAACTTCCAATCTAAAAAGATGGATTTTTCATATTATTTTTAAAATTTCAGGCCAATAATCGCGGAACCTATAAGAAATCTATTAAAATTCTGGACCCATAATCGTGGATTTTTTATTTTTTTTTTTATAATTTTTTTTTCGTTGAAGAGTCGATAATTTCTTAGTAACGAGTCCCTATAGTTCTGTTAGTGTCTTAAATATTTCCAGTGTTTGTAAGGACCATACAAGGCAAAATGTATATCAAATCGGCTAAACAACTTAGATTTCTATATTTTATATTTTTTTAAATATGAATATGTTCAACACCAGCTACGAGGAAGTATCCAGCTTATTTTGGAAGTATCCGGTCTTAAGCTGGGCCTTGGGTAAGTCCAACACCGTCTAGACGACTCATAATTTTAAAAATTAAATCTCCTTCGGCCGGAGATTTAATATTTTCACTTGCGGACAGATTCCAAAACCGACTACCCTTTCATAAAAGTAAAGTTTCAACAGGTTGCCGTTCGAACTTCACATTTAAGAGGCCCATAACTCGGGAAATATGTTCTTCTCCATTTATGTTATTTCAAATTATATCGTTATACTCGGGACCACCCCAATACCTGCCTTAATAGTTGTATATCATTTCGCGAGGTGGCCCTAAACTCTATATCAATGTCTTTTGAGGGACTTCTTGGCATAAATCATGACATTTTCAAGAACCTATTTTTAAATGTATGAATTTTTTTAATGAAAATTTTTTAGATCTTTACAAAAATATTGAGCCGATCTAACCTGTTAAATTGGTCCTTCAAATGCCTTCAAGAAAACTGAATATGGCACTGAATATTGGTCTAGCATGCATAGAGGTGACATGGATCTCAACATTCATTACCTCAAAAGCGATTAGATATCTCCAAGTCAAGCTATGATCCTTATTCCTAACAGAAATCAAAGGATCCGGGGACTGTAAATAATTAAATCCACCACCACCAACTTTTGCATTACTTTCAAACAACCTTACTTTCCAAGATCTGAAATCGTACCTACACATAGATTAATTCTATGGCGTCATCACAAAGTATAGGCAAACGAGGAAAACTAGCTAAGACGCGTTGAGGTTACTACTTCGATTAGCATCTACTCCTTAGGTATTTTTTCTGACCATTAGAATTGTTCTTCAATAAAAGAGCGAGGATGAACCAAGGTGCAATGTATCAAAATGCCCATTCAGCGATGCGGAATCTGAGGAAATCAACTATCTCTTCCCTCTCTCATCATCTACTATCTCTTCCCTTCTCCTTCAGTTGAGGACATGGAAAAATAGACTTGGTTATTGGTTAGACTTGGTTGGATTTGGAAATTGCTACATCTGCCGTAAGTAAAAATTATCATGACAAAACAGAGATATTTTTTATAAATTACAAAAATCTATGGTATAAACCTACAAGACAACAACAAAAAACATTTAATTTACATAAATTGTATTTTTTTTTTGTTTTTATTTTTTATGTTAACAAAATATGTGTACATTATTGAGTTTTCTTTTATTTTGTAATAGCTTTTTGTTTTGTTTTCTTTACTTGTTTTTATGATGTCTTCTTAGTTGTAACGTGAGGAATGTTAACTTTTATTTTTGTTAATGTATTGATGTTATTGTTGTGGTATTTGGATATATTGTTATTACACTACTTGAAAACAATTATTTTGCTTTTGTTTTGTCAGTTGGTGTGATATCTTATTTATTGTTGTTTATTCTTTTCTTTCATATATATAAATATGTGTATATATTTTTGTTAATATTCCTGCTTCACTAAAATCTGTCATCAAAAAGCTTTTGTTTTTTATTTGTAATATTTTTGTTTTTTCTTATAATAATAAAAAATGTGAAACCAACAAATGTTTAAAAAAAATATATTTACATTTTATTTATAATCTGCTTACAACACAGGCGGTATTAATATAAACATATTGTATTTATATATAAAAAATAGTATGTCTAAAATTATAGAAAAGAAACAAAAAATTTACAATAATATTACTGTTTTTATAAAATTAAAAAAAAATCATGATTTTTTGCAAGGAAATTAAATTTTTGTTAAAATTTGTTTTAAAAATATTAATAATATAAATTAAAAATGTTTATAAAAATTAAAAAATTGATATTTATGTGAGTGTGTCGGCGGATAATATTTATGTATTTTTTATAAAAGTTATTGTATTTTTTTTTCATTTTCAATATATAACAAAAACAATTAAAAATATATTTTTTTATTTTATTTTTTAAATAATAAATAATAATAATTAAAAAAATATTTAGAGCTGAGTTCTAGAAATTCAACAATTTATTTTATTTTTTTCTTTGTTTTATTTATCAGTGAGTAATATTTAATTGTGTGTACGTGTGTTTTGTAATTTGTTTCTTTATTCCTTGTAAGAACTTAATAATAAAAAATATATTATTTTTTATGTAATCTCACTTAAAAATTATTAATAATTCTGTTTATCTTAGATGTAATGGTTGTTTTTTTTTCTTTAAAGAATTATTTGTTTGTTTCGCTAAAAACTAAATCTTAAATTGTATTTATAATTATTATAGAGATTATTTTAATTAATAATACTTAAATTAAGATTTATTTCTTTTATAATTAAACAAAATTTAGTGTAATTATTTTTCTTAGCTAAAATATAAATGAAAATTATAAATTAATTTTCAAAATTATTTTCATATATATTTTTATTGAAACATAAAATTATTGTGTTTTTTAAGGTTGTTTGTATCAGAGGAAGTCATGATGATGTGGTAGATTTTTCTTTCAAAGTATTTTTTTTATCTTTAGAATATTTGAAATATTTACCATATTTTTCCATTAAAATCAATTAAAAGCATTTTTAAAAAAAAATTATTTCATTTCAAGAATTGCACAGAAAAAGAAATATGCCATTATTTCCATTTGAAATTATGTTCAAGAAACACAATCCTTTTTAAGGATATTTTATTATTATTATTATAATTTATATAATTTTCAAATGAGTTACATTTTTTATCATTCTGCGGAGAACTGTCCAAAACCAATTGGGCGGTTTTCTTCACTTTTTGGAAAATAATTGGGTCCAACACCCATATGGAAACAAAACAGAACAGAATTTTCAGAATACTAATAAATAAATGATTTAATTTTTATGTCTCTCCTCATAAAGGGTCCCAAAACATCTTGTGGTGAATACGAAATCGCACTTAAATAAGCCCTTTCGAATTTGTATTTATTGAACATTGACAAAATCCACAAAGTTCTTTAAGGGAACACATCGCTCGCCAGGAACAAATTTAATACAAAAACTTATCCTCGAATTAGTAGATAAAGGGTCAATAGGGTCCCACCCAAAACATCTTGGGGTGAATACGACATAGTATTGGACATCACCGAACCCAAACAGACCTTTTCAAATTTGTATTTTTGGAACATCGACAAAATCCACCAAGTTCTTTTAGGGAACACTCGCCAGGAACCAATTTAATCCAAAAACTTGTCCTCGATTAAGTAGATGTTTCTGGAGTGATCGTTGAAAAGTGAATACGACATCGGATAGTATTTGACATCATCGAACACAGACAGGTCTTTCCAAATTTGTATTTCTGGAACATCGACAAAATCCACCAAGTTATTTTAGGGAACGATCGCCAGGAACAAATTTAATCCAAAAACTTATCCTCGAATAATTAGATTCTTCTGGAGTGGCCATTTAATTTTGTATGTCTCTCATCATATAGGATCCCAAAACATCTTGAGGTGAATACGACATCGGATAGTATTTAACATCATCGAACCCAAACAGACCTTTTCAAATTTGTATTTCTAGAACATCTACAAAATCCACCAAGTTCTTTTAGGGAACACAACACTCGCCTTGGAAAGCCAGCTATTGAAAGAAGACCAAAACATGGCATTTATTCAACTGTATAACTACGAAGTTATCTCCCTACTTATCCATTGAAATTTTTCTATTTATCAAAGAACTATATAGTGTCTCCTACTCAAAAAGGTTCTACAAATGTCTTCGAGATCTTAACTTTAAAAAAGGGTAAAATGTAAAAGCTGCAATGAAGATGGTCTTCTCAACGATAAATAAATAAATACCCACCACCTAAGAATTAAAACGTAGATATTCTTCTATGGAGCATAAATTTAGAAGCCGATTTATTTAGAAAAAATTTTCAGAGGATGTTTCGATCTTGTATAAGCCTTGTGTGTTATCAATTATATGAGGACATATTTCATCCCTGAAATTATCAAAATGGCCTGTCGATAAAAATGGTTTTATATATCGAGGAAACAGAAAAATATTTAAAAATAAAGGCCTCAAAGATTTGCTTGAAGACCTTCAATATAGAAAAAAAATAATGCTGAAGCTTTTATGAGGAAGGTCTTTTCAAGGATATATAAAAAACACCCATAAATTTCCTCAAAGATAGATCAAAATACTTAATTTTAAGCAACGAAGATTTTTTGTGTGGAGAATAAGCTGATGGCCTGCAGAAGATCAATCTTAATACACAAAAAAAGTATATGTATAGAAGACCCCTAGAGTAAATTTAGAAGTCGATTCATTTAAAAAATACTGTAGAAGCTGTTGCAAGACAGACCTGCAGAAGCTTTGTGCCTTTAAAGTGTTCGTGTCTTTTAAAGATCCTGGCTGGATTGATTTTCAGCTAACGAAGAAATGTAGAAAGGGGACTTCAAACAGAGAAGACAGGTAGAAGGGGTTTATATTCGTTGCAAAACCGTCCTGTAGAAGCTTTGTGCCTTTAAAGTGTTCTTGTGCCTTTTAAGAGATCCGTAGAAGAATTGCAAATGGATTTTCTGTTAACAAAGATATGTAGAAAGGCGATTTCAGCCAAAGAAGACAGATAGAAGGGGTTTACAAATTCTGTAGTAGATAGGATTATTTCCATTTATAATAAATCCTGAGAAATTTATAAATAATCCTAGAAAGGTTCTATATAGGGTAGATTCTTCAAATATGGGAGATATAAAAATTCATCTTTCTCAAATTTCCCCAGATCTTCTTTCATGTATGAATAAGATTTTTTTAAAAGGTGTCTTATTCTTTCAGAATGTCTTGTGTGTCTATAAGAAGCAATTCTGTCTGTAGAAGAACTATTTATATTATATTATAGAAGATCCATAAAATGCTTACAAAAGGATTTTGAGCTAAAGAAGACATATTGAAGGGGTTTTGAGACCCAAAAGAACTGGAAAAGTGTTCTATATGTTAAAGTTGTTCTTTCGAAATCTATGGATAATACTCCAAATAAGAGACCTCTGTCAACTAATTTTTTAGTTAGATCATTTTGATGTCTCGAATATTAAAGGTTTTTTTCATGGCCTCAAATTAAATTGATTTAAAAAACAGACTAATCAAATCAAAATATGGTAGATAGGATTATTTCCATCTATAATAAATCCTGGGAAAAATATTCCAACTAAGAGACCTCTTCATGTATGAAACTGCCTTGGAATACATTTTTTGTTATAGTCGATATACTTTGAGAGAAAGTATTTTATTTTTTCAGAATGTCTTGTGTTGAGTAATTCTGTCTTTAGAAGAACTATAAAAGATGCACGAAATAAAAGGATTTTGAACTAAAGAAGACATGTATGGTTTTGAGACACAAAAGAACTGGAAAAGTGTTCTACATATTAAAGGTCTTCTAAAGAAATCTATGGAGAGTCCTCTGCCAAAGGTTTTTTATTAAATGTTTTTTCCATGTCCCCAAACCGGATTGCATTAAAAAAGACCTTAAACAAACGATTATTCTTTCCGTCCATCTAGTCAAGGTTGAAAACTATTACATTCGCAATTCAGTTCATACAAAACGTCAATGATAGTTCTCGGTAGAGGACATTAGAATTGTGGAAGATGTAATTAGACTATCAGACTCAAAAAGATACAAGGATTTAATAACTCAAAATCGATATAAGAAAAATACACCACCTCATTACATTAGATATTCGTGTTTTATTCTCACAGAATCTAGAAGTTGCCGATATGTATCTCATTGATGGGCACAACCCTTTTCACTTGCTCTTGGGGTTGAAAAGCTTTTACATATCCTTAAGCTTAGCCCTTACCACGTCACTAAAAAAGTATTCAGCCGTAAAACCTTGGAATTCAAGGGGAAAATCCTTACATTCGCCCAATCCTCCTATCCTCAAGAGTCTCCGTTAAATGACAGAAAATAAACTCAGTTGAAAATTATTACCAAGAAATTTTTTGAAAATCTTTAAAAATGTTTTAATTCCCACGACCAGCGTTAACAAAAACAAAACCTACTTTTTGTAGGGCGATAGCTTCTATGTTCCAAAACTATTGCCAGCCACAGCGTCTGAGTGAAGTTGATGTACGACTTGTTGTTGTTGCTGCTGCTGTTGACCAAGAATCCCTGATGACCCCCCGGCTGCTGCTGAAGCCGTAACATTGTTCATCATTGCCATTTGATCCCTGTTATTATTATCCGTTGTTGTCGTCATCGTCGTTGCTGTTGTTGTGCCGGCATTATTGTCTAGACCCGTAGATGTTTGCCCATTTTGGGCGCACTGCTAGAACCATGAACGTGGATTTGCAGCATCATATGGTTTGGGAATGCCCAACGTTGATGGCCTATAGGCTGAGGGTGGTGGTTGGCCATAGCCGGCTGCAGCAGCCGCCGCTGGGGCGGTGAGCAGTGGCGAAAACGACATCATACGTGTGTGATAGTCATCACGTCGTAAATATTGTTGATACAATTGACTGTTGGCATCCAGTTGAGAGGCAGCATTCATAAAGGGATATGGGGCGGGCCGTGTCGAGGGATGGGCCAGAAAACTGTAGGGATTGGCGGCGGCTGCTGCTGCGGCCGCTGGACTAAGGGCAGATTGTGTTTTGTCCATGACACTGGCGGCGGCAGCACTCACGGCATTGCTGGCATCATTTGCGGCATTACTGCTGCGATGGGCCGGTGCCGGAGCCATGTAATAAGGATTGGAGGCATCTCGAAATTGATCAAGATAACTGGATCCCGTCTGATCACCATACAAACCCAGGGTGCTGGCCGCAGTGTGGCCAAAATTAAATGCACTACCGGGCACCATGCCGGCGGCAGCAGTTTTCAATGAAAGGGCAGCATCCAGAGCAGAGGTTGTCGAGGTTGAAACAGAGGAATTTGAGGTATTGTGGTGATTTCCTGCCACTGCTGTAGAGGAGGAATTTTGCGATGAGCCAATTGTGGCTTGCGAAGAATTTGAGGTGGAGAGGGGTGATCCAACCCCGGTAGATTTAAGGCCAGCATACAGTTGAAATGATTGCAGGGCCTGCAGCTGGTGAGCTGTGGGTACTGCGGCAGCTGCTGCAGCAACGGCCGCCACTGCAGCCGCCGAGGAGGTATTGGGATTTTGCGAGGCAGGATTGTTGTAAAGATTTTGTTGTTGTTGCTGCTGTTGTGATTGATGATGTTGTTGTTGCTGTTGTGATTGGTGGTGCTGCTGTTGACTTTGATGATGCTGTTGTTGTTGCAACTGTTGCTGCTGTTGTTGGGCTTGAGCCTGAGCCTGTTGCTGTTGCTGCAATTTTGCCTGGGCTGCCGCCTGTTCTGCTGCAATGGTGGAGGCCTTCTTTTTACGTCCCCGCTTGGCTGGGGCAGGCTTTTGTGGCTCCACTTGCTGCTGCTGCTGTTGCTGTGCCGCACTGTTGGCCCCCGTTAAACTATGCAAATAATTCGTGGCTGAGGAGGCCGCCGTGGGCATTTGATGTGGATTGCCATAAATACTTGCACCACTTCCAGCAGAACCTCCCCCCGACCCACTGTTGCTGTTATTGCTCACCGATGTCTGTTGCATTGAATTCAAATAATGCTGGGAGACACCCTTACTGGCCGTAGCCGCTGAACTATAGGTATGAGCCGCCGGCGGCATTGTTTTGTCATAGTAATTTGTAGCTGCCGCTGCTGAGCTCGTCAAACCCATCAGAGCTGTGGGATCACCGAGGGGATGCAGCAACGAAGAGGCAGGATTGTTGTATGTCTGACTGGGTGGTGGAGGAGGTGTGGGCTTGTTGTAGGCCGACAAATGATGTGAATGGGATAGATGATGACTGGCCGAGGTCATGGCCGATAAGAGGGTGCTATTGGAGGTGGAAGAATTCGAAGTGGAATTACTATCATGATTTGTGGCACCAGTGGAGGATAGAGAACTGGAGCTGGTGGAATTTTTATCACTGCTGTTAGAATGTTGTTGGTGCTGTTGTTGCTGGCTGTAGTTCAGTTGATGTTGTTGCTGTTGAGGAGTGTTTTGGGTTAGTTTATTAGGGGCCCCATATAGGCTATGTTGTTGTTGCATGCCATGATGTTGTTGCTGTTGTTGTTGCTGATGTTGTTGCTGTTGCTGCTGCTGTTGATGAGCCATATATGTATTATTATCATTATTGGACATATTTAAAGGCTGTTGCAGACTATCGCTTGCCTTTTGTTGTTGCGGTTGTCCAAGCTGTTGTTGTTGTTGCATTAAACTTGTATTGGAATTGGGATTTGTACTTTGCACTGCGCTATAGTTCAAACTGGCCTTTAAGATATCCAAAGCTGTCTTGTTCTGTTGCTGCTGCATTGATTGCTGCTGTTGCTGCAGGGCCTGCTGCTGCTGGTGATCATTTTGTTGTTGCTGCTGCTGATGCATTAAATGACCACCACTACCACTGCTGCTGGCCGTCAAATGTTGTTGCTGCTGCTTATTTGCTTCCGATTGCATTTGAGATTTTTGTTGTTGCTGTTGCTGCTGCAAGCTAGCACTTTGTTGATTATCTTTGGTATAGTCCTTGGGGAAGCCCAACGATGCTGCCTGATTGTACATGGCAAAGGCCTTTTCCGGAGCTATATTTCCAAAATGCTTGCCAAAGGCCATCGAGCCCAGGAAGGAGTCGAACATTTGGGAATATTTGGATAGCTGCTGTTGCTGGGGATCCTGTTGGCTTTGTTGTTGTTGCTGCTGAGAAGTTGTCTGTTGCTGCTGCTGCTGCATCGGATTTGTTTGTGACAACAAGGCCGACAGGGTACTTTGTTGTTGTGGCTGTTGTTGCTGCAGATTTGTGGCTTGAGTATTAGAGGAATTGGTCTGTTGCACCCTTGCCGAGTTGTTGCTGGAATCATCACATTTTTGTTGTTTCCTAGCTGTGGCTCCAACGAAATCCATTTCCATTAGATTCTCTGCGGGGCGCTTAAGGGAATTATGCTGCATTTGTTGCCCATGTTGTTGCTGTTGATGTGTTTGTTGTTGTCCAATTTGTTGTTGTTGCTGTTGCTGCTGCTGTTGTGTATTTCCCACTGTCGTATTCAATGAACTTTTATGGGCCTGGACCTGTTGATGCATATGCTGCATAAATGCTGCCATATCCCCTGAATTTTGTGAGGTTAGACTTGAATTGCTTGCATTGTTGTTGTTGTTACTGTTGTTGGAATTCAAACCATATTGATTGGTTGTATTAAGACCCGCTGGATTTGATTTTTGGGAATCCTTAAGGGTCTCATCCGTTGTGCTGTTGGATGATGTCAACATTTTACTGGCAGCCTCAGCCTGGTATTGGGCATAGGTGGGATAGCTGGGTTTGTTGGATATTAAAGAGTGTTGTTGTTGTTGTTGCTGGGGTTGTTGTTGTTGGGATTGCTGTTGTGGTGCATTCAAATGAGACAAGAGATTGACATGTTGTTGTTGAGTTGATTGCTGGGAATTCTGGTTATTTCCCAACTGCGTCTGCTGCGGCTGGGGTTGTTGGCCACTGTTGTTGTTGTTGTTGTTGTTGTTGTTATTGGCATTGGTTGTGGTATCCCGCCAATCATTGGTCCTTGAAGTCTTGCTTACATCCGTTAAATTATTACCCTCCGTACTGTTTGTTCCCCTCATCATTGACGCACCAAAGATATTCTGTAAACTACTCGCCGTCGTGGAGGACTGGGAGTTAGCGGAACTGGAATCCTCCTTTGGATTCTGCAGATGGGGAGATTGATGTTGTTGTAATTGTTGTGATTGCTGCTGTTGTTGCTGTTGTGATGGTGGAGGCACATAGGCATTTGTATTGATATTCAAGGAAGAGGCAGACGATGACGACTGAGTCGACGACAAACCCCCAACCGAGGCTGTAACCGAAGCTGGAGATGGTGTGTTATCCATTTTGGGAGCATACATATTAGTGTTTTGCTGCTGTTGATCCTTATTTGTAGTGGTAACGTCATTGCCATAGCCACCCCCTAGGCCCGCACTTCCCACATGGTAATTATGACTTCCGGTGGTGCCCAAACTTGATTGACCGCCATATGTGGGCGGTTGGGGTGGGGTCTGTGCCACTGCCTGTTGTTGTTGGCTACCCACACTAGGCGGTTGCTGTTGATAAGGCGACATGACAGGCTGTTGATAGGGTGAATTTTGCTGGGATTGCTCAGCTGGAGACTGGGCCAAGGGAGTTGGTGGCTGAGTGGCGGCCGAAGAGGCCGGTGAATCTATGTTGGGTAGAGGGCTATGTTGTTGCTGGTTTAAGGGTGAATGCACACTGGATGACCCTCCACTGGCTACTGGAGGTGTATGCGCGGGACTATGACCCAAATTTGTCGAAGTAATTCCGGCCGTATTTGGGGTATGTGTGGCACCATAAGGAGATTGTTGGGGACCCGCCCCCACCGCTGCCGCTTGATATGGGGAGTTGGGTGGATGATAGGGACTTTGATGAGGCTGTGGTGTGGTATGCGGTGTGGCATATGGTGAGTTTTGAGGCTGCTGATAAGGTGAATGGGGATTTGGTGTACTGGGACTCATTGAACTGTTGTAGTCCGATTCTTGACTCCTTGGCTGCTTGTACTGATCATAGAGATTTGGTAATGGTGAGGTTGAGGAGTAAACCGGTGTTTTGGAGGCCTCCGATCCAGAAGGATTGTAGCTATTTGCCCCTCCATAAGGAGATGTGCCACTCAATTCTGGCGTCGAAACATTAGGCGACGAAGCCGATGAATAAATATGTTGAGAATACTGTGGATATGGTGAAGGCATTTCCCGGGGACTGCAGCTTTTGTCGGGGCTGCTTTTTGTTGTGGTATCTTGATAGAAATTCACCTTGATTGTACCATTCAGAGGGTAGGGAGAGGCAGGTTTTGTTATCTCATCCGGTTTGGGTGACACCATAATGGGTGAGGCGCCAATGGGAGATGCTCCGATGGGTGATGTATAACTGCCCGCATTATAGGCACCATAGCGATCTTCAATGGTGATACGTGGCGAGTCGGGGTCTTGACTAAAGCTAGATCTTTCGGAGATTGTACTACCGGTACTGCCCTTACGTTGCCTTGGTGCCGAAGGCAGAGAAAACGTGTCTCCAATCAAAGGAGTAGCCGCTGCTGTGGCCGTGGGACTTTTATTTGCTGGGTTTGTGGACAGACCCAGCGCCGAGGTTCCCAATGCTCCGGCTACCTTATCTGCACCCTTTTCATTGCTGTTTTCACCATTGTTATCTTGTGTCTGTTTTTCTTCTTCTTCGGATTTCTTGGTCTTCTTGGGTGCCCCAAATGCCTTAAACCAGGCACTCAAATTTGGCTTCTCCTTGCCGGCCTTAGCGTCACCAGTGGCATTGGCATTGACATCGGTGGCCTTTTTATTGGCAGTTGAACTTAAAGTTTTGGCCTGCGTGGCGACCAACAAGGCCTCAAAAGGTCGTGGTTTATCACCCAATTTCCCGTCTTCCTCCAGTTTATCTTTGTCACCGCCAGCCGAGGCCAATGTTGTGGCCGCCAACGACGATGTGACTTTGGGGAAGGGCAACAAACCCTCCAATACGTTTTCCTTTGCCTTAAGGCTGTTGGTGCCATGCTCATCTTTTTCTTCCTTGTCCTTGTCACCCAAGCCCAATGCCGGACTTAGGGCCGCCTTATTTACCGTCTTACTGGCCAGTTCGTCAATGAAAGAAGGTGTTGACCCAATGGAAAAGTCATCGGTTTTTATCACCGAACCCAAACTCAGCTTGGGTACATTATCCGCAGTCTCTACAATCAAAGCATTCTTGATTTCTTTGGTCTTAATGGGACCACCTCCAGCAGGACCCAATGCAAACAGTTCGTCGGGTTTATTTACATTTTGTATGAGATTACCCTTGGCCTTGCCAGGTTGTAAACGATCTATGGTCCTGAGAAGATTGTCTTTCCTCCGTGTATTTGAGGAGGCCTGTAATTTCTCTTTCAGCGATTTCCTTTTATCCTCCTTGGCCATTTGTTTTTTAATGTGTGGCGGTGGTGGGGGGTGTAAGAGCAGTTGTGTGGTTGAAGGCTCCTTGGGTTTGGGCATTGTCACCGTCGTCAAGGAGGGCGCTATTGTTGTGGGTGGTGGTATCAGCAGGGGAGTGTTGGCAGCAGCCACCGAATTCAAAGAAGCTATTGAGGGAGCATTAATTGACGAGGAGTTTGAGGAGGCATTCACCGAGGTACTGCCCACCGAATGTCCCGAAGTGGTTGAATGTGGTGGTGATGTAACTCTGGGCAGCACGGTTGATGAAGGCAACAGCTCATTGAGTATGTCTTTCTTTGGTAAATTGGAATCGGATGAGGAGTTATTATCGGCAACAAGTTCATCAAAGGCCTCTTGCAGCTTGACTGGCATCAAATCATCCTTGGCACCGGCTGGCTCTTCCAGTTTGGCTGATATGGTGGCATCAAAATCATCCATCATATAGCGGGATGGTGAATTTGAGGCTGAGGAGAATTCCGAAAAACGTGGAGTATGTTCCAACCAACGATTAATGTCTTTAAGGGTTTGCTCTGTTTCCACATCCAATGCTTCCATATTGGCCGAAGAGGTATTTGTATTCAATGAATTGTTTTTGTTTGCAGAATTCTTATTGGATGCTCCCCTCTTTCCTGTTGTACCTTGATTATTGCCAGAGGAGGCTTTCTTTTGCAATGCCTTCTTGGGTGGAGGTGGTGGCTGGGGTTTTTCCTCAATTATCTTTAATTCCTCTACCTTGGGGGGTTCTATCACCACCTCCGGCACAGGGACTTGTAATGGGGCTTCATGTGCCACTTCCAGTTCCAAAGGAGGTGGTGTTGGCTCTCTTACAAAGGCCTTCAATTTATCCTTCTTTTTAGGTGGCAACTTGTCGGCGGTCAAGGGTTTTTTGTCTTTGCCTTCTGTTACCGGTGTTGGGATGGGCTGTTTTACTTCCTCCTCAATGACCAGATTTTCATCTTCCACCACTGCCTTTGTTTCAACCTGGGTTGTTGCATCATCCTCAATTACCTCTTCCACCTTTTCTTCGTCTTCATCTTTCTTCGTTACCAATTCCTGGGTCTTTTTATGCTTTTCGTTGGCAGCATCCTTTTTGGAAGTTGTCTCATCTGGCTTACTGGCAGCTGGAGGTGAAACCTCTTGTGATTGAGGTTCTTCAACGCTCAAAGTTTTTTCCAAATTCTTTTTGGCCCGCTTTGATGCGTCACGAGATTTCCGACCCCTTGTCGTCTCCGTTGGCTTATCGGGAGTCTTTTCAGCCTCAGCTTTCTTTGCCGCTGAGGTGTCTTTCTTACGAGAACTGCTCGATTTGGTGGCCGTCGGTTTTGCCTCCGCAGCAGCATTCTGTTGATTAGCTAAAGCTCTACTCCTACGATATTTTATAAGTTCATATTTATCCAAGAAAGGCAGTAGCATTTCCAATTCCGCTTGCTCGGCCGCTGCAGCTGCTGCTGCCGCATCTTTTTCTGGATCCTTTTTCTTTTTATCATTCGAAGTGGATGATGAGGAGGATATGGAGCGTTTACGTTTATTTTCTTTTGTCTTATTGTTTCGAGTTGCTCCCCTACGACCCGCTGCAGCTGCTCCCCTCCTTTTGGGTGGTTCCGGAGAAGGCTCTCGAGATTCTTCTTCCTCTCCGGAACTATGACTAGTTATGGATTTGAAATCTTCTCTATCGGAATCTGCTGCTGTTGGCACATTTGCTGTAGTGCTTTGCACTTTCTTGACCGTTGTCAACAGCTCGGATAGATCATCGTTAAGGGCACTTTTTGAGTATTTTTTGTGTAGATCAACTTTAAATGGTGACATGCTGCGCGAATCGTCATCATCGTGGATTTCTTCTTCCAATTCAGAGGCTGAAGCTTCTAAAGCTGCCACGGCAGGTGGAGGAAGATCTTTGTTTGAGGGTATTGAGGATTTGCGTTTGTTGACAGCCTTGGGTGTGGGTGGTGGCGGCGGAGGTTCTTCTTCGACCTCGTCTTGTATTCTGTCTTCATCGTCAGACGATGACTCCTCGTCCTCATCGGATTCGGACATTTTAGAAGAATTCTTTCCCCGGCCTTTCGTTTTTGTTTTGGGTTTTTTGTCTTTCTTTTTCCCTGAATTCTTTTTCTTTTGATTTGATTTGTTGCCGCCGGCTGACTTTGTTTCCTTTGTCTTGTTCTTGGCCCGTTGTTTGCTGCTTGACTTTACCTCAAAACTTTCATCCTCGTCTTCATTGTCAGGCTCCTCCTCGGATTCCATTTCCAGCATATTTTCCTCTTCCGAGAAATCATATTCATCTTCCTTTTGTCGGGTGCTGCCGCCGCCCTTTTTCTTTGAAGACTTCTTCGATTTGCCCAATTTGGATTTTTTCGATTTCTTATCTCTTTTCGAGGAATCTTTTGAACTTTTCGATTTCTTTGACGAGTTTCTACTCTCCTCTAAGTCCTCATCGGCGGCATTCTCTTCATCCACATCCATATCTTCGTCTTCTTCGTCACCGCTTTGTATTGATTTATCGCCTTTTTTATTTGATTTTGATTTTCGTTTACGTTTTTTGTCTTTATCTTTCTTTTTGCGTTTTGATGTTTTGTGTTCTCCGTTTTCGGCCTCAAGATCCTCGCCACGATCGCTTTCATCTTTTAAAACCGTCTCCTCCCTTGTGACGGTTTCGTCGTCATCATTGTCCTCATCATTGACATTTGATTTTTTGCCGTGTTTACCACTTCTGCGTTCCTGAGATTTATGTCCCGACTTTTTGCCACCACCGCCGCTGCTACTGCCACTGGTCGCTGTTGTTGTGGTATCTTGATTTTCCTTATCTTTGGCCTTTTTATTGAAATATTTTTCACGAAAAACATTCATTTTGGAATCAGCCGCCGGATAGCTTAGATTTGGATCATCCTCATCATCATCGGAGAGATGATCGAAATATTTTTTGGTGGCTTTGTCGAAGGCCTCTTGGAGTTTATTTACCATTTCGGTATATTCTGTAATGAATGGAGGGTATTATTAAAATGTTCCAGTGAGTAGATACAATTGGACTTACCATTATCATTGCCATTATATAGCCGACAATTATTTACAATTAATTTAAAATCATTGCGAAAATCACTGAATTTTTGATATTCTCCATTATCCAGTTTGTCTTCCATCTTCAAGAGATCCATGGGCCTGAAAAGAGAAATTTGAGAATTAATTTAGTGCATTTTTAGAATCAAAAAATGTTTATGTTTATGAATTAAATGAGATGCATCCGTGAAATTCGTGTAGAACTCCGAACATGTATTTTGCTACATATTTCTGAGACCTCGTCCCTCGCAAGTTATGGCAGATAAAAGAATTGAAAATTGTAACCCTTTGTGGGTGAGGTGCCAGCCAAAAGGGGTTAGCAGATATATATCATCTTCACAACAGCAAAAACATGTGTGTGAAATTTAAAGAGAGAGCATTTTGTTCTTCAAAAATCTTGAACCCTATGTGGGGGAGGGACTAGAAGAAATGGTCCGATCTCTACCATCTTTAAAACAGATCTTTTGTTGACGGAAATTTTGCGATTTTCCAAGTCTAAATAGAATCGAATGTTAATTTCGTCTTTTATGAGCTTCATGAATATTCAAAATTTTGACCCTTTGTGGGGGGAGGTACCAGAAGGGGTGGACCGATATATTCCATATTCACACCAGGCCTTGGGTTAATAAAAATATTGTGATGTGTGTAGTTTGAAAAGAACCGGATGCTTATTTCGGATTTTATGATCGTTTCGGTTATTCAAAACTTTGACCCTTTGTGGGGTAGGTACCAACCACAAGTAATGGTCTGATCTCTACCATCTTTATAAAAGATCATGTGATGATAGAAATATTACGAAGTACCAAATCTGAATGGAATCGGATGTTAATAACGCGTTTTATGAGCTTCGTGGATATTCAAAATTTTGACCCTTTGTGGGGAAGGTACGAGAAGGAGTGCATCGATATATTCCATCTTCATACCAGACCTTGGTCTAACAAAAATGTTCTGATGTGTGTAATTTGAAGTTAATCGGACTCTTATATCACATTTTATAAGTGATATAATTATTCAAAAATATGACCCTTTGCGGGGAAGGTACCAGAAGGAGTGGACCGAAATTTTCCATTTTCGCACCTGACTTAGCACTGATGCAAATATTACGATTCGCAAAGTTGGAGCAAAATCTGTGCAAATTTTTTTTTTTTTTGAAAATTAAGGCATTTTGTAGGGGAGGTACCAGAAGCAATGGACTAATATTGCCCATCTCTGAACTCGATCTAAGTTTGACAATAATATAACGATGTACCAAGTTTGTACCAAATCGGATACTCCCTTCGAGAGTTATTGTGCGCACCAGCCAGCCAGACAGACAAACGTACGGACTTATATCGTTAGATCGACTTCAAATGTTCAAATCCGTTATTTCGACGAGGCATTTGTTGACCGTATCAAATGACATATGCCCCCTCTAGCCATATGGCTAAGGGTATAAAAAATTACTATTTTGCCACAAGGGAAACTAAACCGCTCTTTAGCTGGATAGTTTTGGAACAATGTTCTCTCTCGAAGAGGTGAAGACAACTGACCACCGAGAACTTGCGATTTAACACCTTGAGACTTTTTCTTTCCAAGTGAAAGACTAAAGATTGGTCGATTAAAGACCTTAAAAAAGGAAAAAAGTTCGAAGACATAGGCCAGCTACTTTGCGATTTGGTTATGGAAAGGATATGGCTGTTATTATTTTTCATTTTTTAATGATATACCTCCCACTTTATTAGAAAATAATATCCGATCTTTTATCTAGAAAATCACATATTTCCTTGAATACCAAAAAAAAACACCTCTTATTGGAAACCCTAAGCCACCTGCAAAATGGTCAATTTGTTGAAATTGTGGAGTTGCAGGGATTTGCCCGCCCTTTAGGGAAGCCTGGACTCCCTTCAAAATATAAAAAAATTACAAATCAACCAAAATGTAACGGCAGACAAATCCGACAAGCAAATTCATCTGAAGAAGGAGGTGTTTTTGGAAGAGAGAAATGAAAAGTCCATTGACAAAAAATAGGTATTTCTGAGTCCTCAATCTCTTAAAGATACCCAATCTTAAAGGCTTCGGGACACAACTAGTATGAGAGCGTATTTTTATACCCTACACCACATAGTGGTAAGGGTATTATGTCTTTGTGCATTTGTTTGTAACATGGAGAAGGAAGCGAGATAGACCCATAGTTACTTTTGAGGATATCCATAGAATCACTATCTGAGTAGATTTATGCATGTCAGTCCGTCTGTCCGTCTGTCCATGTATTCTTGTGAACAAAATGCAGGTCGCATTTATTATCCGATTGAGATGAAATTTGGCACATATCATTTGTTTGACCCAAGGACGAACCCTATTGAAATTGGAAATAATCGGTGAAAATTGATATATAGCTCCCATATATATGTTCGTCCGATTTGCCTTTTATTGTGCACCAAACGTGTAATATCAGGCCGAAAATTGTGGAATTTTGCACATACAACCAAATTAAACCTTAAAATAAGTATGCCAAATTTGATCGAAATCGGTTCAGATATAGCTATAGCTCTCATATATATTGTTCATCCGATTTGTTATTTTTGTCCTCGGCAGCCGTAATATGCACTCTGTAACAACAAAATTTGGGCAAATATATCAAATGCAGCTCAGAATTACATTTGCTAAATTTTATCGAGATCGGTTCCGATTTGGATATATATCCCATATATAACTTCGTCCGATTTACCTTTTATTGTGCACCAAACGTCTAATATTTGCCCAAATGGGATGAAATTTGGCACTTACGACCGAATTGAGTCTAGCTAGTATGCCAAATTTGATGAAGATCGGTTCAAATATAGCTATAGCTCCCATATATATTGTTCATCCGATTTGTAGTATTTGTTACCCACAGCCGTAATATGCACTCCGTAACAACAATATTCAGAGAAATATATCAAATTAGGCCTGAAAATGAGTATGCCAAATTTGATCGAAATCGGTTCAGGTATAGCTATAGCTCCCATATATATTGTTCATCCGATTTATTATTTTTGTCCTCCGCAGCCGTAATATGCACTCTGTAACAACAATATTTGGGGAAATATATCAAATGCAGCTCAGAAATATATTTGCCAAATTTTATCGAGATCGGTTCAGATTTGGATATATCTCCCATATATAACTTCGTCCGATTTACCTTTTATTGTGCACCAAACGTCTAATATTTGCCCAAATGGGATGAAATTTGGCACTTACGACCGAATTGAGTCTAGAAGCTAGTATGCCAAATTTGATGAAGATCGGTTCAAATATAGCTATAGCTCCCATATATATTGTTCATCCGATTTGTAGTATTTGTTACCCACAGCCGTAATATGCACTCCGTAACAACAATATTCAGAGAAATATATCAAATTAGGCCTGAAAATGAGTATGCCAAATTTGATCGAAATCGGTTCAGGTATAGCTATAGCTCCCATATATATTGTTCATCCGATTTATTATTTTTGTCCTCCGCAGCCGTAATATGCACTCTGTAACAACAATATTTGGGGAAATATATCAAATGCAGCTCAGAAATATATTTGCCAAATTTTATCGAGATCGGTTCAGATTTGGATATATCTCCCATATATATCTTTATCCGATTTCAAATTAATTGTGCACCAAATGGACAATACAAGTCCGAATTTAAAAGACACAAATGCTTCGGTATATTTACTCCTTTGAACTTTAAATTATAATTATAATCATAGCGTGTATGATTGAATTCTCCCATAAAAACTTTTAATTGTTATGTGGAGCTCTACTAAATTATCAAAGTGGTGTAGGGTATCAAAAAGTCGGCCCCGCCCGACTTTAGGACTTTCTTTACTGGTTTTTCAAATATTTGTTGTTACTGAGACAGGAGGCATTTAAGGAAGAGATAAATGAAAAGTCCATTGACAAATTAGATGTGTCTCTGAATTCTCAATCTCTTATGGATACCCAATCTAAAAGGGCTCATACACAAGCCTAATATGAGAACGATTTTCTTAAATATTTGTTATAAAATCTAAAAATGAAGTTTCAACCCAAAACCAAAACGTTTCCTTCCAATCAAGCTTCAATGACACATTCCCCTTGAGAAAAAAAAAACAACAACAGCAATGATCATGAAACAATGAGTAATGAATGATAAATATTTTTAAATTTTGCAACTTACCTTCTGATTATGGAATAATATCTGGGGGCAATATCTTCTTCCACCGGATCCATAAAGGGCCAAGCATCACGATGATTTTTCACATAGACCAGTACTTTGTGCATGCCAATTTGTAGGACCTCCTCCATTTCGGTAAAGCTAAGAACATTTGTTGTGATGGAATTTTTGTTCGTACAATAATTGTTGTAGTTGTTGGTGGTGGTGGTTGTGGAGGTTGTTGTTGTGGTGGAGTATAGAGATTTGGTTGATTGTTGTTGATGATGATGATGGTGGTGATGATGATTATTATTATGTTGATGGTGATGATGAGAATGATGATAATGGTGTTGGTGTTGATGTTTTTGTGATTGATATTTGTGATAGGATGTTGAGGATTTTTTATGTACATAAGTGGAATCATGTTGGAGTAGGGAATGATTATTATTGTTGTGGTTGTGATGATGATGATGGTTATGATGATGTTGATGATTGGGAAATTGTGCATTAGTATTAGTAACAGTATTATTACTAGTGGAAGTAGTTAAATGAGAATTATTATCACTAGGATTGGTGGTGTTGGCTATAGAAGAGGTGGACAAACAAGAGGAAGAGGTAGTGTTGGTTGTAGAGGAAGAAGTAGTAGTATTGTGAATGTTATGTGTCTGATGTTTCAAATAACGTTTAGTTGGCGGTATGGTGGCCATATCTGGAGAAGTAGTAGCCATGGCTGTGCTCGACCTGGATGCTCTACTGCAAGGCTGATTATTATTGTCATTACTAGCGATCTTGGAGGAACAGGTTGACAACTGGTCCTGATGTTGTTGTTGGCTTTTGTGGCCCTTGTGGTTCTGGCTCTTGCTACACACAGCACAACACATCACGTTGTTGTTGTTGTACGACAGTGTTTGGATTTTATTTTTCAAGTGGATTTAGGAAGGTGATGATTTGCATCGATATGAAAGTATTTGCAGTTTGATTTTTGGTGATCGTGATGATTGATTGGTTGGTTGGTTGGTTGGTAGATTGTTTGGTGGTTGTGGTTGGTGATAAATATGGATCAAGGTTTGGTTGTGGTTGGTTGGTTGATAGTGATTTTTAGATTTTTGTTTGAACACAAACAATTTACACAATTGCATGATTTTTGATGTTTGTTTTGGTTTTTTTTTACACACAAAAGAAAAAAATTAAGAAGGAAGAGGGTACAAAATACAAATTGGTACTTGTTTAGATGATTATTTATTTACAAATGAAATTGTTTGTTTTTAGGTTTGTACTCGACAAGGAGAGGAAGGCAACCAAAATTAGAGGAAACATAAATGTTTTCAAACAGATTTTGTAAAAACAATATTACAAAAGCAAATATTATTAGGCATTCCAAATGAAACTACGGGGGAAAGGATTTAAAAATTTTTCATTTCTTATAAACAGATTTGAAATTAAATTAATTTTTTGAAAACTTCTTCGAAATTCAGATCATTAAGCTCCTTAAGATAGAAAAATAAAATAACAAAAAGACATTTGCAGAAGATTTCGTTGAAATTCACTACAGTTTTGTAAAAAAATTTAAAAAAATATTTTTTTTTGATATTTTTGGATAATTTTATTAAAAAATTGAAAGGAAGGAAAAATTGGTATAGAAGACTTTAAAGAAATGTTATTGGAAATTTTGTTAGAATAATTATTTTATTATCTTCTCTATACACAAATTGAGATGAGTTCAAGGAATACCTGGTTGAAATTTAAGGTGATTTCAAATAATATTCCCTCAAAATCCAAAATTAAAAATATAATTCAAAAAAAATTTTAAGGCTATTTTGGTTTCGATAAAACTACCTCTACAATATAAAACAATAATAAAATAAACCAAATATAAAGCAAGGAATATATAAGATCGGCTGAAAAGACTACAAGTTTAGGAGTTTGATAAGACACTCAACTTTGCGTTTCTTAATTGTTGTGATACCTTCTCGGCTGAGAGAGATCGTACTCGGCGTTGTTGTTGTTGTTGTAGCAGCTCATACTGCTGTGTTCGTTCAGACTCCTCTCAATCGGGTTCTGCTTCTCAGTCCAGTTTCAAAAAGAATGCAACCTGTACAGGTTGGATCCTCAACGACACAGAAGTTAAATGAGTAGGATTGGCTGGGCAGCGAAATAGGTGCAGCGTATCATGTGGACCTGTGCCACAAGCTAGACAGAGGTTCTGCACATCGCTGTCAATCCGGGCCCAAATAGAAATTGATGCGGCTGCACCATCCGGATCTTAACTGAGCCAAAACTATTCGGGTTTGTCAGGGCAGCTCTCGCTCTTCAACGGCGATGGGAGGGGGATGGTCATAATACAGTATTCACCCTATATCATTCCATGACTTCTGGGACCGCGTAAGAGTCCCGCTTGATTGACCTGTTGATCTAGACGCTCTCTCTTATACCTCTGTACCTCTCTCTCTCTAGATCATGAAGGTCTTACCTTATGTGCCGGGCGTAGGTTGCCTATTCACCAGATGGTGATTCGGATGGCTCCGTCTGTAACACCCAAGCAGGTATTGCATTGACGTTGACTGTAAGACCTTCGCCTTCTCATGTAGGTGTTCGACAGATGTAATGAGGACGCAACCTGTTGCGGTTCTAAGGGTGGCATTCTGGCAGGACTGAATATTTTTCCACAGCGTAGCACTAACGTTAGCGGACCATAACGGAGCCGCATAGTTTACCACAGACCGGCCTATCGCATTGTAAGAGATCAAAAAGGTTTCCTAATTAGCTCCCCAAGTGCTGCCGGCCAGAGACTTGAGAACCTTGTTCCTACTTCTATTCTTGTCGCAGATAGCCGTGGAATGCGCAGACGACTTGAAAAGGATATCGAATGTGACCCCCCCAATACCTTGGGGTAGTTGGTAGTCGGAATCACAACTCCATCGTCCTGTATATTCAAAGAGAGCCTCATCTCCGCAGTCTATGTGGTGAATAGTGGGACCGTCGATTAAGTTCCTCGCAGTGAAAAAGGCGGATAGATCAACTATGTAAGCGTTTAACCCATGGCATATGCCATCTAGGATGGGTTCGGAGGCCACAAGCGTACAATCATCTCCGTAATTTATTGTCTCTATGCTGTCTGGAAGGCGTGGCATGTCAGAAAAGTAGAGGCTTAACAGTTCCGTAGATATTACCCAGCTTGGGGAAATCCCTGTTTCACTCTACGGATGCTCGACTTCTTGTTTCTGAATTCCACGTATGACTGGCACAGAATTCCCCTCTTATCCCAGTCACTCTTGAGGTGCTCTATGAATTTCTGGTTAAAATAACTCGACTAACTCTTCGGATCTATGACATCTACGCCGATAAATTATACAAATATCCGATCATCCTCTTTTCCAGAGTTTGAGTTTGACTTAACCGTTGTCCACAAGTTACTCGGTCAGGTATTCGAACAGCACCGATTGTTAGGTTACGCCAATCTAGGTCTCCTAAAACTAGACGGCTATTCTGGGATACAGCTATTTAACACGTTAAGCACATCTACCTAAAGGGTTCCACGCTTGACCGCTACCACCATACATTCCATGTATAAGTCGCCAGAGTCAAGCTCAGGTGAGATAGGGCTGTACTGAATAGAGTGGTGTATAGGAACGCTAATGGATGCGATTATAACACACGGAACAGAACCATAGTCCGGGAGGTTGATCTCGATCCCGGCTCGGTCAAAGTGAATACGGAGCAAACATTCCGGGTAATATTGCTCCCACATCAGAAAAACGGACGAACACGAACATACATAGAACCTACTGTCGCGGTATCTCTTTGAGTTTCATATCACAATTATGTCTTTTGACAGCAAACATTGTAGTCAGATGGGCTTACTGGCCGACCTTATATAGACCATGATATAAAGCTTTCAAAAATCAGCTCAGCTTAACTCAACAAAAATCACACCACACAGGTGAGATAGGCCTGTACTGGATAGAGTGATGAAGTAGGAACGCTAATGGATGCGATTTTGACAAACAGAGCAGAACCATAGTCCGGGGGGTTGGTCTCGATCCCGGCTCGGCCAAAGGAGTAAACATTCCGGGTAATATTTCTCCCACATCAGAATAACGGACGAACACGAACATACATAGGACCCATTGTCGCGGCATTTCTTTGAGTTTCATATCACAATTATGTCTTTTGACAGCAAACTTTGTAGTCAGATGGGCTTACTGGCCGACCTTATATGGACCATGATATAAAGCTTTCTAAATAAAAATCTCACTACACTTTACTACGTTCTACAGCAGCCAAAGAAATTCTAATTACCAATAGCCAAAATAAAAAAAGTTCTGTTTAAACTAAAACCCGCAAATTACTCCGATAAACATGCATCAATCAAAACATAGGACAGAAAAAGAAAATATTTGCCAAGAAGAAAATATAAAAAAAATTTTAGATAAAACCAGTAACAGCCAATTATGAACGGAGGGCATAGATGAAAAGAGTGATATGTTTCGGTAGAGAATGTTGAAAAGAATACGAAAGAGAAAATATAAAAAAAAAAATAAAACATATTTACAACTTACTCATCGGCACTTTTTTCGGAACTCTGTGATGAAATGTTGGTGGTCTTGGAATTTGTTGTAATGCTATTGCTGGACTCTTCTCGGTCATCTTTGGAGGCTGGCGTTGAGACCGCGGCCGCAGTAGCATCGCTATTTGCTTTGGTATTTGATTTTGATTTACGTCCTCCCGCCGATTTTGTTGTGGTGCTGTTGTTGTTGCTGGTCGAGGAAGAGTCTGTGGATTTTTGTTTCCTATTGGCCATGGTGGAATTTTTATTTGTTTTAGTTGAAGAATTTGTGGAATTGTGGGAAGAAGTACCACCACCGGCTGAAGACGAATCTTGCAGGGCGGGTGGTATGAATATATTGCCGGTTAGTGAGGAAAGTGAGTTGTTTGTTTGACGTCCCGGTAATTTCATATTTGTAGCTGGTGCCATATCCTGTTGCACAGCACTGGGTAGATTGGTCTTTTTGCCCTTCTCCTTTTTGTTGATCGTCGCTGTAACTACGGCCACACTGGCCAACGATTCGTGATGATGGTTGTGTGTTGTTGCCGTTCCAGTGCCGGTTGTGTCGTTCTGATGATTGTGGCTACTGTGATTTTGTGGTAAAAATAAATGTAGACTTTCTGTGGGCACAACACCAAGGGCACGACAAAAATTCTCCTTATCTTCAGGACTTAATACTGGCTCTTCTTCATCGATATGATTGCGATGATATGGCGTAAGAGAAGTTGCCCCCGACCCCGCTGCTGTTGAGTGGTGATTATTGTGTTTGGCTAGTTTTTCGGATAACAAATGTAGTTGTGTGGCGGAAATTTGTGGTGGATGCGGAGTATCCTTTTTGACATCAGCAGCAATCACCACCACCTCCTCTTGCAATGGCTGATTACGGTGTTGCTGTTGTTGTTGCTGATGATCAGTTGAGGTTGTTTCGTTTGTCCTATTGCTGTGTTTTTGTTTTCTGCGATGTTCTTTGGATTTCTTTTTCTGTTTCTTTTGAGATTTTTTCTTTTTGTGATGGTGGTGATGATGATGATGACGCTGGTGGTGATGATGTGATTTTTTATTTAATTTACTGTGTTGTTGTTCCTCTTCTTCCTCTTGCTGCAGTTGCTGTTGTTGTTCTTGTTCCTCTGTGTTGTTGTGTTCATCGATATTTTGATTAACGTTATGTGTGGCCAAATGTTTCGAGTAATTTATTTGACTGTGATGTTCTGCTTCCTCCTCTTCGGCTTGATCTTCGCCCCCTTGTTCTTCGGGCAATAAAATTTCCGATTTTTCTGTTGGTAATTCAATTTGTTGTTGTTCTTCTTCTTCTGCTCTTGCTGCTAGTGCTTGTTGCTCTTGTTCCTCCTCCTCCTCCTCTTCGTTGGGTTCTAATTTGATATTCTTCAATAGATTCAAGTGTTCATCGGTAAGAGTTGTTGTGTAGTCTACAACTTTGTGCTGACTTTTTTCTTGGATAAAATCTTCTCCGGTGTTGGCCTGATGATGATATTCTAATTGTTTTTGTTGCTGTTGTTGCTGCTGATGTTGTTGATATTGTTCATCGCCATCATCATCTTCGTCGTAATAACGATCAATTTCACCGGCCTCGTCGTCTTCGTCGTCCTCGTCTTCGGGTGTTAGACAGAACGTTTCTCGATGTCCTAAAAAATCACTCGAATTTGTGGTGATTGTACGACGCAGCGAACTGGCATAGGTTGAAATCCCACTGGCTGTTGAGGTTGATTGTGAGCTAGAAATTTTTGGAAAAATAGAAAATGGGAGGTTAGTTTTAATGTTGAAAAAAATGATTTTATTGTAACAAAAAGAGTATATGAGGATCATGCAATATGTGTAGTAAAGAGAGTGGCGGTTAAAACAAATCAGTGGGGATAAGAAATAAAAGTTAAAATATTAAAATATAAAAAAGAAATATATTTTCAAAAACTAAAAAAAATAAATTTCCCTCAAGGAATAATCTTTTACCATCTACATTTTTCAAAGGTCATCGAAGGATCAATATTTAATTTTTTAGTCTATTTTAAGACCACAATTATTTTATTTAGATGTAGTTCCACTTATTGGCAGCAAAACACAAACTCATACCGATAGAAAGTTGCCTATATCTCGAAACGAGGCTTAGGGAAGCCAGTCACAATAAGCGGGCCAATCTACAGAGAAATGGATTGGGGGGTAAGTTGGACTAAGATCTGGAAAATATCAGAAGGCGTAGGGGCCTTTGATAAAACATGGACCGAAATTTAATACTAGAAACATGCTGGATTGTTCGAGCCTACAAAATACCTAAAATATATGGGTACACTTTTATGTTGCATCTAATAGATGGAATCACTTTTGAACATTTTTCCCATTCGCTAGGATCCACATCAGACAATAGGACTTATTTTCCTTTTTCCTAAATGTATAGGTGATGCTTTTGTAGGAATATTAAAAACATTCGGGAAGGATGAACAATATTGTGTCGAAATGAGAATTTTTGAAAGTACTCGTGGGGTAGGCATTTTGGCTCTGGAGGGTCTCTATCGGGGCCATCTGGAATCAATAAGAGACAAAGAATCAAATATTGAATTCGATGCTCATAAAGCAATCTATGTCTTCCCCTTTCGTATGCGTTGAATAGCTTTTTGTTTCCTCTTCCTCTTCAGAGAAGCTTTTCCATTCGAAATTATTTACACCAACAAGGATAATCATCGATCTTTGTGACATGGACCAGAGACGTCTGCTAAGATAACGAATATCTCCTAACGGCTCAGTGAGGTTGGAGAGAAAGTTATGCCTCCTGAGATTACTTGAGAGATTGGTTCAGGCTTAGCATGCCCAAAAGCAAAAAGCAGTATATGCCTTTATCGTTTTCATCTTGAGAGACGATTTCCAATTTTTTTTACAACCAGGGTGATAAGATCGCTTGACAGATTAACCTTGGTTCCAGATTTATGAAAACGAATTTTAGGCACCCCTTTCGAGTAGGACTTCTTGAGCTTGTCAATTAATTACAAATTACATCTGAAAGGATATCTAACTCTTTAGGCAAAGTTATGCCTCCTAAGTTTTGTTCAGGCATAACACCCCCAAATGGAGCCTTTTCAATTTGAATTTTTCTTTACAACCAGGGAGATAAGATCGCTTGACGGATAAACCTTGGATCCGATTTATGAAAACGAATTTTAGGCACCCCTTTAGAGAAGGAATTTTTCGAGCTTGTCCAATAATTAATATTAATTATAATCGACACGGTAAACAATGAAGTTAGAGAAGGCCAATCGCCAGCTTTTCTACTACAAAAAATCATAATTTGAAATTGTTTATATTTAAAAATTGAAATTCCCTGCAATGACAAAATAATTCTGATTTCCGAAATCCTCTGGGAGAGCAAAGACAAGTTACGGCTCATGCGATTATTGCACAGAATACCCTTAAAAACAGGCTTAGAAAGCCAATTTTGAGCAGCCTTTTTATGAAGGAAGGCTTGGTAATTATTTGGCAAGGTGATAGCTTGACAGAAGACTGAAAGCAATTCTGATCTCTGCTTCCCTCTAAGCAATTCCAATCTCCAAAATCCTCTGGGAGAGCATAGACAAGGTTCCGGCTGCTGCGATTACTTCACAGATTGCCCTAGGAAACAGTCTTAGAAAGCCAAAATTAAGGGACCTTTATAAGTAGTAAAGCTTGTAAATTGTTTGCCAAAGTGGAAGCTTGACGGAAGACTGAAAGAGATCCCAATGCAGATTAGATTCGAGCAAAACATTGGACATTATAGTCAACTGTCTGTCTTCATAAAAAAACTTTCACAACACTAAGAAGACTTTTATGTACATAACTCTAGCAAGTCTTCCTTCTACACATCTTCCACGTTTAAAATATCTTCAAGAGGTACTTTAAGGGCAAAAATCTCTGCGAGCAGTTCTAAAAGTTCTTCTATGTACAAGAAAAAAACCCATTTGAGATGTCTTCTTGGTTGGAAGACATTTAAGAAGTCTTCTAGGCGAGGAAGAACTTTAAGCGGTTTTTTTGTGTAGAAGACCTTAAAGAGATATTTTAGATGTTAGTCCTGTGAGAGATTTTTAGGCTTTGAAAACGTTCAAGAAGTCTTCTAGGTATCGAAGAAAGTTAGGTAGTCTTCTAGGTGAAAAAAAAAAACCTTTAAGAAGTCTTCTGGGTATGGAAGACTTTTTGAACGGTCTTCCAGGCGTTGAACCATTCTTCTGTTTGTATAAATTATTCAAGAGATGTAGAGGATATTTGTGAGGTCTAGATGTAAAATACCTTTAGAAAGTATTCTAGATCCTAAGAGGTCTTTCAGGTATAAAACAAAATTTGAAGACTAGGTAAAGTTGACCTGTAAGAGAGCTTATTAGTGTAAAAGACCATTAAGTGGTCTTCCAAGTGTAAAATTCTTTTGAAATGATTTCTAAGTGCAAAAAATACCATGAAGAGGACTTGTAGGTATGGAAGATATTTGAGTGGTCTTTTCTGTGGAGATTCCGTTAAGGGGTCGTTTGGTTATAAAATGTTGTTAACAGGTGTTCAGAGGAACTTTAAGAGGTCTTCTATTTATATAAACCGTGTTAAAAGGGTTCTACATAAGAGAAGAATTCAAAATGGGTTTCTCTGTAAAGAAAGCCTTTATGAGATCTTTTTTGATAGAACACCTTTAGGGGGTCTTCTATTTTTAAGGATATTAAAGAGCACCTCTATGCACAGGATCTAACAGGGGCATTTCTGCTTGAGGTCTTCTGTCCCTATATTTTATCCTCGGAAAGCTTTTTTTAATCAGGAGACCATTTGAAAGGTTTACTATCTGCGAATTGATACTCTGTCTACAGTTGTCACCTTGAAAGTTGTTATCTTTAAGGCACCTTTAAGAGATCTACAGTATAAAAAATATATCTTGAAGAATTCCTCTACCTAAATAGGTTTTTGAACCGTAGAATATGAATAAATAACTGCCAAAAAAGCAAAACATAGTAAAATCACAAATTAACAACAAATAAATCAATGAAAATAAAACTTAAATTAACAATAATATAAGAGTAATAAATGAATAAATAAATAAAGCATGCTTACATAATTTGTTAAAAGAAACGAATGTTTTTTGTGGGCCTGTTGTGGCTGAAAACAATCATTCAATCAATCAACATGATCCAATCAGAAGCCGAAACAGAAGAGGATGATGGTTGGTTATTGGTATTGTTTTTTAATTAATTTTTTTGTTTGTTTTGTTTTGGTTTATTGCATTAAAAAAATTAAATATGATGATGCCTCAAACAAATCTCGACGTTGTTACTCAGAACAATAGACGACGCCAGCCACATGGTTTAGGTTTGTTTTCTTTTTGCGGAAAATCAAAAGTAGTTATCAAACACAAAATTCCAAAAAATAAAAACAAAACTCCTTTGCAATAATTTTCAAGATATCCTCTTCTTTTTTTTTTTTTTTTTTTGGTGTCCAAAATGCTTTCAAATGATAATTAAGATGAGTTCTGAGTTTGTTTTTTTATAATGGTTAACAACAATTTTGGATAAGAGTGGCGGCATGTATTCTTGTTGTTTTGCTTTGGCGTAATGATTTGTTTGATGAAACCAAATAATAAACAAATAAATAAAAATGTTAACCGAAAAAAAATGATTCAACTGACAAAAAAGAAAAGCCAACAAATGATCCAGAAAAACGAACAAAGGCAATCAATGTAGGATGATGGTTTTTGGATGTTTTGGAATTAATCGGTTGGTTGTTGGGTTGGATGGTGCTCTAATATGTTGGAATTGTTATGATATGATCAATTGTGGGTGTTTGTAGTTGTTGGTGTGGTGGTGGTGGAGGTGGTGTCATAGTGGTGTTGAGGTGATAATGCAGGCAGGTTTGATATGCTTAGCACATTTTTGTTCTTGTTGCTGTTTTAGATTTTTTTTCTTTTTCTTTCTTTTACAGAGTTCTTGTTTTGTTGTTGTTTTTAGTTTGGCTTTTATTTTTTGATTTGTTTGTTTTTTTATTTTTTTTTTTTTGTTTTTGCTTGATCTAGGAGAGACTATCGTGACGTGCTAACCATCTGCGAGCTCTAAGTTGTGAATTTTTCGGTGGCGGCTGTTCAAATTGTAAACGTTGACGTTCTTTTTGTTTGCGTTCTTTTTCTTGACGTTCCTTTTCTTGCCGTTCTTTTAGCTCTGCCAAATTGCGTATGCGACTTGAGTTGCGAACTTGCAGTAATCTGAAATGGAGAGAAAAATAGATATTAGTGTTTGGAAAAAGCAGGAAGTAGTAGTAAAGAAAACATTGAAATTGAGGTTCAAAGGTTGATAAAATTTTTGAAAAGTGTAGTTGAAAAATAATAAATAAAAATAATTATCGAAAAGTACTTGTTTGGGCCTAGGGTCCTTGAAAAAAAGTAAAGTAAAATAGTATCAGTCGGTATTGCCGACAGTTGTATACCCCCAACCTTTATATACATAACTCTAGGGAGTCTTCCTTCAACATATCTTCTATGTTTGGAATATCTTAAAGAGGTATTTTAAGGGGTAAAGAATCTTTGCAAGGAGTTCTAGGCTAGAAAACCATTAAAAGTTCTTCTATATATCAAAAAAAACCTTGAAGAAGTATTCCATGTCTCCTGAGCATATATGACTTGGCTTGGTAGCTGAAATAGACTTCTATGATTTGTTTTCGGTGTATAGAACATTTGATATGTCTTCTAGGTTGGAAGACCTTTAAGAAGTCTTCTAGGCTTAAGCGGCTTTTTAGGTGTAAAAGACCTTAAAGAGATCTTTTTAGATGTACAAGTCCTTTCAGATGGCTTCTTTGTGTAATAGACCTTTAATAGGTGTTTCTAGGTTTTGAAAACTTTTAAAGAAAAATACTTGTTTGGGCCTAGGGTCCTTGAAAAAAAAGTAAATTAAAATAATATCAGTCGGTTTTACCGACAGACGTTATGATTATTCAAACTGTTGAACCTTTATGGAGAGGTTTCGAAGCAGTTGGCCTCTATTGACCAATTCGTATTCAACCTAAGATTGATATAAATATTACAACGTGCCAAATTTGGACTATTCGTCTACTTCCTATACTTTATATGCGATATGTGCAACTGTTTGGCAAATGCGGAAAAATGCGTGTAGTAACAGACATACCGGACCGAGGTATTCCATTTTCATACTTCATATAATACAGATAAATATATGAGTATAGCAAGTTGTAAAGAATCGCCGACTTGTTTCGAAAGTTATTACAGATTTTGACTCTTTGTGGGTGAGTTATCTGAAGGGGTTCGCAGATATATATTATCTTTATAACAGATGCTGTGTTTTCAAAAATATTGGGATGTGTGAAATATGAAGAGAGTTTTGTTTTTCAAAATCTTGAACCCTATGTGGGTAGGTACCAAAAGAAATCATCCGATCTCGACAATATTTACATACGATCTTGTGTTGATGGAAATATTTAGATGTACCAAGTCTGAATGGAATCGGTTGTTAATTTCACGTTCTATGAGCTGCATGGATACTCAACATTTTAACCCTTTGTGGGGGAGGTGCCGGAAGAAGTGGACCGATATATCCCATCTTCACATCAGACCTTGGGTTAATAAAAATATTACGATGTGTGTAACTTGATGAGAACCGGATGCATATTACGGATTTCATGATCGTTTTTGTTATTCAAAACTTTGACCCTTTGTGGGGGAGGTAGCGGAAAAAGTGGACCGATATATCCCATCTTCACATTAGACCTTGGGTTAATAAAAAATTTTGTGATGTGTTGTAACTTGAAGAGAACCGGATGCTTATGTCGGATTTTATGATCGTTTTTGTTATTCAAAACTTTGACCCTTTGTGGGGGAGGTACCAGAAAGAATGGTCCGATCTATACCATCTTTATAAAAGATCTTGTGTTGATGGAAATATTTAGATGTGCTAAATCTGAAGAGATTCAGATGTTAGTTTCGTGTTTTATGAGCTTCATGAATATTCAAAATTTTGACCCTTTGTGGAGGAGGTACCAGAAGGAGTGGACCGATATATTCCATCTTTACACCAGACCTTGGGTTAATAAATATATTGTGAATTATATAATTTGAAGACAATCGGACTGATTGGAATATTAGGTTTTGCAAAGTTGGAGCAAAATCGGATTATCCTTTCTCTTTTTGTGCAGTAAATTCTTTTTTTTTTTTTTTTTGAAAATGTTGACATTTTGTGGGGAAGGCGCCAGAAGGAGTGGACCGATATTGCCATTTTCCGAACTCGAACTAAGTTTGACAAAGAGACCTAGAGTCTAAAACCGTTTTTTCGATGAGGCGCGATTTGTCCGTATCAATTGATAAATACCCCCTCTAGCCATATGGCTGAGGGTATAAAAAATACGTGATTGGTCCTAGGCCCTTGAAAAAATTTTTTTCGAACAATTTATGTTTTAAAATCAACATTTCGGGACCAATTGAGAGCCCTTGAAAAAATAGTCTCAAAACTTTGAGTCCTTGAAAAAGTAATTTTTGTTTCGAACTGAAGATCTTAAAAAAAGTCCACGTTGGTGGCTGAGACCCTTGAATATTATTTTGAAAAATAGCCAAATGTAACCAATGGTCTCTGAATATTTTGTTTGCAAATGGGAGACTTAATAGACCCTTGTTACAGTAGACTGGATAGCAAAGACAAGAATCACATCATCTGTCTAGATTCCGATGTGATTCTTAGTATTCCTATTGTAGCAATTGGTTTAGCAGCGTAAGGCGCCTATCCTAAGCGCAATGTCCTAAGCTATTCTCTTAATGCCAATATATCCCCTTGTGAGTGTTGAAATATAGATAATCAAATCTTCATTCTTCCAAATAAAAAAATCTTAGGAAGGAGAAAAAAATAAAAATTATTAATCAAATATAATTAATAAAACTTATTTCACTTACTTCCTTCGCCTCAAGCGTTCACGCTCCTTAAACAATTGCGGCAATTTGGGCAAAAAATTCTCATCTAATATTTGATATAATTCCTTTTCTTTGGCATTTGTGGAGGCCTTAAATTTTGCCGCTAGATTTTGCCAATCTTCTTCGGTGAAACAGATCACCTGCCACACGGAGTTCGATTTTAAACTACTTGCACCAGCTGGCTTATCTTCGCGATACAATCGGGTACCATAAAAATACCAGTAGCCCGAATTTTTGGAATCATAACCCAACGGTTCGACACGAAGACTATCCGATTCGAGATTATTTAAGATGACCTGGACATCGACGCTGTCCAAACGAAAATGACATAGATCATATAAAATCAGCAGACGTTTACGTACGGGTAACGATTGAAAATCAATATCGGTATCAAAATGGTTTTCGGTATTGTGAAGACGACACTGTTGGCGCAGGAAACGCCGCAAGAACATTTGATAATTACTATGGGTTATTTCTTTTGCTACCGAACGTAAGGCATCGCAACCCTTTAGTAGGCGTACAATTAATTCAGGCACTAGAGCAATGTGATGTTCATCATCTGTGGTAGTACCATCGGATAATAAGGCGGATTCTAAATCCTAGAAAATAGATATTTATTTTCATTATTAAAAATGTCAAAGGAAACAGAAATATTTTACCCACCTCAATATCAATATCTGGTAAATCAAACGCTGAACTAAACAATGAACAAAAATGTGAAATGCACGGTATCTCCCACCATGATTGTATATCTGTAAATAAACCAAACGAAATGATAATTTTAAAATATATATTTTTCCGTCGCAATGTCTACTTACCCAAAAGTCCTATGAAAGTAGAAACCATTTATGTTCACTTTCAGCAGTTTCTGAGTTGAGTTGCGCCGTCCTGTTTTTTTGTTTTGTTATGTGTCCGTTTAAAAGGCCTCTTACAATGTTGCTTGTGTTTTTATTGTTTTTTTGAATTTAATTCGCCTGTTTTTCAATTCCTTGAGTTTGGTTTTACAATTTTCAAAAAATTCTTCTTTGGTATTTTATATGAAATCATGTGTTGGCTTTTTATTTGTTATTTGTAATGACTTTTATTTTTGTAAAAACATGTATTTATCTGAAAAATATTAAACATATCTACAATGACAAATGGAATGCAAACACATAATGGTTTAGTTTCTGTTTCTCCGCACTATGACCCATGCATTGAAGTGAAGAAACTAAATGCTAGTGCAAAATTATTTGTTCAATCTCGAAGTGATCGATCTCAAAATTGACAGATAAAAGTAGATCAGTTTATTCGAAGTTGTAAAATTCGCAAGATACAAAACACTAACAAAGTAACCCATTAGCAAATAGAATTAAAGTCTTTTTCCAAAGATCCTTTGATAAATTGTAGGTCAAAAGAAACTGCTCAAAGGTATCACAAACGTAGACACCAAAAATTATAATTTCCGAAAAAAATGTTATATTTCGTTCCTGTGAGGTTTACATCGGTTCAAAAGTGAAGGTGTAACTTAGCTTCGTAATTGTGCCAAATTTTCAAATGTGGATGGAAGTAATGGAGATAGCAGTTAAAATCTATGTCCATATTAACTTGCTTGCCGTAAGGAGCACCGTTTCGAAAGACTACCACAAGCTAGCGGAGAGACTTCAAGGCCCACCACGAACTTTAACGATCTGTGGATCGGTAATCTGTCTAATAACTTCGGTCCTACCTCTCTAGATCGTGTAGATCCTTCTTGATGGCTTAGATGGCTTCCACGGTAACATTGAAGATAGCAGATATGGATAAAACACCTCTCGGGCTTCCTGATCTTGAGGATATCCTTTATAACTTTGGACATGCCTTTCTAGATTATAGGTCCTTTTAAACAACTTCCCCTACAATATTCTTCTAACGTTGGACCTCTGTCTCTAGATCGTGTAGGTCATTCCTTGGAGTTTAGCCCACCATATAATGGCTTGCATGACTTCCACGGTAACACCCAAATAGGTAAGCAATGAAAGCATGTGGTTATGCTGACGATCCGAGGAATTATCATGTATATGTTCCAATAGTGTCATATGAAGGCGTCCTAATGCAGTTCAGCATTTTCGGCAAATCTGAATAGGCAAGGTCTTCTGAGTACATTAAAGCAAGATGGTCCAATGGTGTCATATGAAGGCGCCCGGTGGCAGTTTAGCATTTTTGGCAAGTCTGAACACTCCTACACTGTGTAGGACTAGTATTCGCAGACGCACCAACATATAGTTTAATAAGAATTCAATATGTCCCATTCCCAAGTGCTGCCGCGTGCTATGGCTTGGGCGAACGACTTGAACATGCTATCGAATGTGATGGCTAGGATCTTGGGGTAGTTCGTGGTTGGAATTAAATATCCCAAATCTGCCTGACTAGAGGTACTCATCAGACAGGAGGCTTTCCAAAAAATTCGGTATTCTGTCCTGACTCAGTCTTATCGTTCCCATATCCACAATAATTTGGCGGATTATAATTTGTCTTCCATACGTTCGACTGAGATCGAACATGCCATGGTAAGGACTCGATAACTTAGCCTGATGTTCGCTGATGCCCATAGGTATCAACTAAGCTCCGTTAGTCTACAGTCTTTACCCAGTATGCAAACCTGTAACATTGATAGGCACGCGGTTGCATATCACTCTAGCCTTAGAGGTTCCTCATCAGTCTAAGGATAATTGACACTCGGGTATTTAAGTCGAGACTCTCTCCTCAGACCCCATACATTTAGTTTATTATCCAACGTTTCAAACTTGCTCGGAGGGCAGTTCTCTTGAAACCTCAAACAGCGTGGCGTTGTTGACTGTAAGGCACTTCTTGCTATGTACGCAAACATATTTTAAACGAGCCACTACTTCTCGAAGGACTCTCCACATTGGCCAATCCCATTGCTACCGTTAAAACTGTGATCACGTCCAAGACCATTTCTATCGGTCAGACTCTGTGAAAACTGTACATCGGTGGAAGAGGTCATTAGCGTTCACATCTACTACAAAAGAACCACACGTATAGGTATATCGAATCTTCTTCTCAAGACCTCAAAGTCTAAAGTTTTTCGTGAGCAATACTCGTGACAACATTGAATGCGTTCTTGCCTTAATTTTCTTTGATAAGTACTTCAGCTGGCCACTTCCAATAACTTTAAGCATTGAAATGTAGGCAAGATATCGCTACTAAAGTCCAATCTTGCTTATATTTCGCCTATATACCTAGGTCTCAGGGCTCGGATTAATTAACCAAAGGCATTAAATGTCTGTGAAGGCTGCCATTCCGCCTTTTGACTAACTTTCACAGTTCCGCCATAAATACTGGCATCATATTGTCCAAGAACATGTCCAAATTGTCAACTCTCACGTTTCCAAAATTCTATAATTCGACTGCTTTCGTAGACAATTCGTCAGCATCATTTGACTACCGAAGAGATAATCGTTGTTTTGGCAAACTGCTATCTGTGCCTAAAAACAGAATTGTTATTTCTTGGCTGAGAAAAACGAACGTTTTCCCGGTTCATAAACAGGACTGACGAGGTAATGAAGTTCTTTTGTTATCCTAGGATACCCACAATTTTTAGGATGCACTGAGACATCTTTCCTAATAACAGACACATCTGTTGTACTTTTTTTCCTTCAACATGAATCTTAAGTGTCATTCAAAACGGCCATCTGTAATTGAACAACAGAAAAACACTTCATAAAAATTGCCATAAATTTCAACGAAACATTGAACTTACGTGGGCAAAAGTTTGTCATTAACCCATCATTGCTCTTCCCTCTTTCTATTCTCAAAAAGTTGGTAATTTTTGGCGCAAAACAATTTGTCTCAATCTTTTAATAATCAAAAAGATTGCGCGGGAAAAATATTTTACAATTGTGAGAGATGATGGCAACGGCGAGTGAGAAGAGACGAAAAAAAAGTCTTGTCAAGTGTTTTAAAAGCACACACACACAAATGTATACCTTCACCGAACAATAATAATATAAACACGCGCTAATATCAAGCTAGCAGCTACATACACACGCCACAGGTGGGGGAATGCGGGCGGCGACATTAGAGAACCCAAAGCATAGCAAACAAATAAAAACAAGCAAAGATGTCGGGAGAAAAAAAAACTCACATATGGTTGGGTTGAGATTGTTTGCCTACTCAATTCTCTGATTTTTTTCAAGTATGTTTTTGGTCTTTTCTTTAAGAATCAATCAAAACAACAACATCACTTTGATTTCATATTTCCCAAAAAAAACATATTGTTTCCTCATACCGGAACCAAAAAAAACTTATCACAAAGAAGATATATAGATATAAACATGAAATACGAATTAAAACATAGCAGACAAAAACATGTGTTTATCACCACCACTCACAAAACGAAGGAGTATGCTAAAACAAGAGAAAAAACCGATTGTTTTGGTTTGTTATTTTTTTTTTTTGTGTATTGCTACCAACAAAAACATACGGTATTATTTTGTATATTTTTTCAAGTAGGGAGATAACCATATGTTACAAAATAGGCGCACTCTTTTCCATCGAGTTGAGAGAGAGCATGAAGAACACCGACAAACACACACACCAAATCACATCAGAGCGAAGAGTACAAGTAATAACATTTGACTTTTTCCAACAGAGTAGTATCGACTCTGTGTGGAGAGTCAACATTTCAGTCGCATTCTCCATACAACAGAAGAGCACAGCTAGACACTAGTAATGGGGATAAGAAAAATTGAGACAATTTTTTGGTATATTTTCATTTCCCGTTTATTGAGAAGAAAAAAATCTAAGTGAAATTTTTTCTGCAACCAATTTTCATTGCTTTTAAACTTCACAAAAAGAAGTTTCCATTGTATGCTTGAGAATATGTTTTCTAACATCTCTAAACTCAAAAGGGACCATGAAAAAATTATGCAACACTTCTTTTGTTTTGTAGCTTCTTTGTACAATTTTTATACATCAACCTCATCTACATAGTCGTCGCCGTCGTTTCCTTGGCAATTTTGTTTTCCTTCTCCCAAGTTATTTTGTAATACACTGTGCACTACTTCTCTATCCCCACATAAGGGATTACTTCATGGAATTTTATTTAATAATTTTCACCACTTTTTCTTACATTTTTTATATCATGTCTTCCGTCTCTGCGCTGGACTTTTGCTTTTTGATTTCAAAAGGTTTTTGACTTCATGAATTTCCACGGAATGACGGACGACTCTGCAGTGCTTCTTCACGGTACACACACTCCTCTTTTTTTCTTCTTCGCTAGTGTAGAAAAAATGTTGAATTGCGTTTAAATTTAATTCAATTTTCTTCTGCTGTCGCTACACACACGCACTCACTTTTTTCTGACTCTCACACTTAAAACTATGTTTACTATTAAAGACTTTTTACAAAAACCAACAATTATTGCTTTTGTCGCTGCTGTTTAGAAAACATTAAACATTTTCTCCGTTTCGAAAAGAAATCTGATTTTTCTTCTATTCCACTACATTTGGTAGGTTCACTTATATATGTGTATATGTACGAGATGATATATGTGTGTCGGATTCTTTTATTTTTTCTCAATTGGCCACAAGAATTTTTCCAATTCTCCACTAAAATATTTTTTTCAACTCACGAACACCACAACTGAATCCGCGTAAATCCGAATGTAAACTGACATTTTCTATTTGCTGCTCTTGCAGTGCCATATTAACGTGAGAGGAAACGAGATGGCTGCTGAGTTATAAAAGGGAGAGAAATATGTTTTGGGGGAAGTGTTGTCAATGAATAGTAGAAAAACGCGAATTTGGCGATTTTTTTTTGTAAAGAAAATCAATTTTTTATCACGGTTTAGTTTTTTTCTTAATTTTTTGATTTGAATTAAACATTAATATTTGTTGATATGTTAATGATATTAGGATAATTAAGCTGTAGAAATGTAAGACATCAATGCTAAGAAATGAAGACCGGATAATCTTACTTTTGTACATAAACTGCCTATCCGAAAACATGCATCCAAGTGAATTTACATCGACTAGAAAATGCCAAAATGGGACAAATGCCATTTTTCTCCTACCTTCTCTATGCGCGCCATAGTTTACATGTGTAAATTATGCAAAATAAAAATTTTAGAAAGTAGGAAACGGACAAAAATTTTTTTTTTATGAAAAACCATTTGGCCCTTTCAATCCCTTGGGCCACGTGCATAGCATAAGCGTTGTGCACAATGATTAAAGTGCAAGAAACAACGTTTCTTTAATAGCTTCAAAAACATGTATGTAAACGCACTAAATAGCAAGGAACGGTTCAATCTGCCTTATATGTGATCCTAATCGTACATCCCCTGCATATCTAAGTTCGATTTCAAGCCTTCGCTCTTGGTTTTTTCTGAAGCTTTCTATTTATATATTTATTGATTTATATATTAGCATTTTAATTAACGGAATTATAATCGATTTGGTAGCTACTTTTAAAACTGCATGTTTGACAACACTGTTCTTTACTGGTGGTTGTCTAAGATAATAATTCACAATGCAATGAAAGAAGAAGAAGTCTTACATAAAGAAGTGTGTCAAATCATTATAACCTCTCAGTAATGCCATATTAAAATAAAACTCTAAAATAGAACTAAAGTATCTTCAATTAGACGGTGTACATTAGATGCAAGATCGGTGAACATGTTATTACTTGTCCGGAACCGGTCATTTGGCCGACCATATCAAGCGATTTAATGGCCTAGGACCATTTTTTGTTTAGCTTGGCTTAACATGTCATATTTAGTTCTGGTAGACCTCTTTTCTTTCAATTTTTTCTAACTTATCCTACCTCGTCTTCATTGTACCGTATGATCTACCTTGGAAATTATTGTACCATGGCTTTTGTTGTTCAATGCCGTAGATGTTGGGAAGTACTGTATATATTACTAAAATACAACCCTAATTTGCAATTGTGGTCTAAACTTTAACTCTTTCTGTAGAAAAAATGTTGAATATTAATTGTTTGATATACGTTCTATTTTAAGTATCGCCTAAGCAACAAAAACAGATATGCGGTTATCAATTTTTATTGATTACCAAACATCAGTGTTATCACTTTTCGGTGATTTAACATACGACCACATTTCACAACCGCCATTAAGTGCCATGTACTAAATTCTCTCCGATTTTAAAGTTGATTTCGATTCAAGATGTTTTCATGTGGTACAATAAGGAGGTAAATCAGGTTCGTAACAGTACTGAAATACAACCTTGAGGTTATGGCCACTTCTTGTCAAAATTATTTAAAATTAGATGCAACAAGTTGTCACCTTTTTTAATATTTGTAAATGGATTAATAACACAAACGATGAATGAAGACAATACAATTTGCATAAAGGTGAGAATACATAAACAGTTTGAAGTCTTCACATGGCATATTTTGTGACATATCATAAAGGGATGCCAGAGCCGCACGCAAATCTTGCCGTCGTTGTTCCCTATATTAAGACATTAAATTGCCTAACCATGATGCCAAGTTGCTTATATACCCTCACCTTAAAAGTTAATTCAAAATTTGAAATTGAAAAAATTAACATTTCACTGCACCACCACATCATCTGTATAATTATGCAATGAGTGAGATAATAAGACCGTTTATTTAATTTTTTGGTTGGGTATTATTACGAAAAAAGAAAATTACAACAAAAATCACTAAACATTTGTATATTATTTCGCTCTTATTAATATAAAAAGACGACACAAATCTATGAATTCTAAATCGATTACAAAAAATCAAATTTGTGATTTTAACCACAGACAAATGTCGATAGTCGATTTTTCACCCTTTTCATCACACCATGAAATCGATTAGTCGAAAGTCGGCTTACATATCCCTAGCACATCACTTCGTAATCATTATTCATAGGAATAAGAGTGTGCGCGAAATTTATTGCTGTTTACGACGGGTGAAAAACGGCAAAATTTGTGAAAAATAAAAAAAAAACAATAACAGGCAGAGTTTAACAAGAAAATTTTTCTCTATACAATAGAAAAAAAGTTTTATATAAAATCATTTGTGTGAAACGACAAATTTATATAAACAGAAAATAAAACGCAGAACCTATACAAAAACGAGCAACATTAATTAGCCGAGCAAGTGAGCGACTTCTTTTCTTTTATGTATAAACGATTTTTGTTTTTTTTTTGTTTCATTTATCCATAAAAATATAAAAGAAAATTTTGCGAGTAAGCAACGATACAACGGACGACGGGTGTGACAAAAAGTAAGCGAGAAGAAAAGTGAGGAAAAATCGAAAAAAGGAATATGTACATCATCTTCAGCAGTTTTTCGGGGAAAAGGATAAAATAAAAAAAATAGTGAAAACATGAAAACAGAGGACAGAGCATAGTGGAAATATTTTGTGTGTGAAAAAGTGTTGAAACAAGTGAATAGAAGAGAATAATTATAAGTATTGTGTGTTAATGAAAGAAGAAAGAATTCGTGAAAAGCTGGAATCATAAAATGCAAATGCAAACAAATATCAAATAAAAGGTAATGAAAATATTGAATTGAGAAAATTATTCACATATGTTTGGGTGTAAGGAAAATTATTTGCTAATTGCCAAAAGAATTAACCATAAACCAAGTCATCATCATCTTGTTTGGCCAGAGCCAGCCAGTGGTGACATAAAAGGAAATACATACATATAAACGGATACAACACACACACCAGCACACAGTCGTTTACATCCATTGCAATACATAATAACGCAACCACACCAGTGAGGAGTGAGTGAACGAACACCGAATGCGAGTGGTTGGTTGGTGGCTCGGTGGATGGATGTAGTAATAGAAAGTGGTTGCCATTGCCGACTGACTGGCTCTGTGTCGGTGCTGTGCCGCCTGTCCGCTTTGTCAAGTTTCTTGTGGAGTGGAAAAACAGGAGTATAATGCAAAAAGCTCTACCAAAATGAACAAAAAAAAAAAACAATGCCAAACGACACTGCATCCCAAGCAGATCAGGAGGAGCATGATAGCAAAAAAAAGAGAAAACTTACTTTTCATATGAATTCGTAATTGATACCCACCACTCCACCATTCGCTCGCTCGGCTGAGTTTGCCGGTGTGCGCCCGAGTAAAGTTGCATGATGTCTCATTTTGGTCATGCCATGCAAAAAAAAAAACAGAAGAAAACATGCAAAACCTGCTATGATTTGTTTTTTTTTTTTTTGCTGCAAGTTGATCTCTTTTGTTGTGTTGTTTTTGTTTGTCAATAAGGTGTGTGATTTGTTATTGTTTGAGAAAACAAAGTGTGTGTGCAACGCAGGTTCTCTTCTTATTGGCATCTAATTAGAAAATAGTGGCAGGCAATTGGATTTCTTTGAAGTTGTGTTTCTTCAGAGAATTTGCTAGGAGGAGGAAAAGTAAAAATAGATTGTTTTCTATGGAAAGTATGTGTTATTTTAATCAATAAAAGGTAGCATTATAATCGGGAGCAACTACAAGAAAGATAATGACACATATTTTGTCATTTTGGAAAGGTTGTAGTGTCAACAATAATATATTTTGTGGGCTCCGAAAGGATACGAGAGTTTTTACTGAACTTAAGATCTCGTAGCCGGTGCTGGGTCCAGAGGAGAAAAAATATCAAATTTAGAAAAAAATTATTTGGCGTAGCCGGTAGGGAACGTGGCTAATTTAAAAAACCTTAAACTACCTAAAACAGCATAAAATTTAGAATAATTATAGTTCCATGTAATAGAAAATATCGGACCGACCGGGCTCATAAATCTAAATTTCTGGATTCAAGAAAGATAATAATATTGTAGAATTTTGGAAAGGTTTGAGTGTAACCTATGACTCAGTGATTATGCATTTTTGGGGGTTTTATAAAAAAATCGGTTCCAAAAAATCGAATCGTTTTAAATACCATAATGTGACCACTTGTTTCATAGATATTTTCATTAGCAAATGAGATCCATATTGTCCCTAGAAGATCCGGATCTAATCCGGTCTTGGACCCGGACTTTTGGGTCAAATATCCGAGAAACCGGGCCCGTCTATTATAAAAGAATATTTTCCCTAATAAAGATTCAAATACTTACCTCACGAAAACATTAAAAAAAAAACAAGTTTAAGGTCATTTTGCGGATCAGTTAACAATCTTATCTCCCGGGCTATTACTTAAAGGGTATATATTTCTTCATGCGGAATTTGATAACTCGCGAGATAGCTATGGAGCTTTTATAATATTGAAATTATATCAATATACAGGGTGAGATAAAAAACTGGATCAAAGTCAAAAGCTATAATTTTTACATTTTTATTACATTTTATTGAATGAAAGCAAAAAATGTCGGAAATAGCATCAAATTTTAGCTTTGTTCGAATTGGTCACCTTTGACATAAATTATGGCCTTCAAATGGCCAATGAAACCGTCACGCGCTGCCCGAATGTTGCTCTGCGGTATTTTGGCCCATTCCCGGCGAAGCGCTTGCTTGAGGTGATCGACACTTTGGTATTTTTTAGTGCCAATCTTGCTTTCCAAAATACTCCAGACACAATAGTTCAACGGATTGATTTTGGTGGCCATTGTGCGCTGGAAATGATGCGAGGAACCTCATTTTGTAACCATTCTTGGGTGGCGCGTGCTGAGTGCGATGTTGCTGAGTCCTTTCGGAATGTCCAAAGTCTGCGGTCAGAATGTTTGCGTGCCCAAGGCTTTAATACACCCTCCAAAATATTTTCGCGATAATATTAATACGAGCGGAGAGCGACCATCGGCTGTTATGGCGGCCCACACCATCACCATGGGCGGCGCTTGAGTTCTGGTGGCCAACCGAAGGTGCACATTTTCAGCTGACCTATTTGGCAAGCAAACACGATCATTTGTTTGTTTACAAAATGCTGGACAGTGAATGTCTTCTCATCGGAGAAAACCAAATTCGGCAGTTCACCAGCTCTTTAGCTCTTTTGAGTCTATTTTCTTTCCGTTGAGGTGTAAGTTCTTGCACTTTTTGGAATTTCAATGGCCTTACCCCGAGCTCATGTTTTTAATTTTTGCTAAATGAAATATTGCGATATGTTCAGCTCACGAGCCATTTTTTGGCCACTGCGACGAGGTTTTCCAACAAGTCGCTTCTTTACTTTTCGAACCATTTCTGCTGATGTTGCTGTTTTCTTCCGTCCACTTCTTTGACATCGGGCTACTCTACCAGTATCACGGTATCGAGCGATGGTACGAGACATAAAAGATTTATTCACATTTAATGCTGGCGTGCTCTAACGTTAGCCACTTGTGGTTTTCCAGCCAAATATAAAGAAATCACACTATCTCGCTTGAATTCCATCACGAATATCTTTTTTTCTGGAAAATTTTCACCAAAATGCTTTTGTACGCTTGTAAACAATAAAATGAGCTGTCACTGGAATAATTTTAACAGCTGTCGGACGAGTGGCTTAGAAATGACAGCAGTCTGAAGTTGGTTGCAGTTTTTTCATCTCACCCTGTAAACAAAAGACCTCCTTCTGAGGCCCTCTATAGACAGAAGATTTCCTTGGTAATGCCATATGCAGACAGAAGAGCTTCCCCTGAGGCTTCTATAGAATGAAGGGAAGGTCTCCTATCCTATAGTGAAAAAACCTTCTTAAGAGAAAATATAATTCAAATTTCATGTATGTGGCTCTGATTGTTTTTGAAAATACGAAAACACATAAATGTATATTTTGTCATTTGGCATTTAAAGCGTGGACTAATAAATATATATAGACGATGTGAAACTTAGTTTTGTCTTTTTATGCTTTTGGATAATCAATCCGACTTCGAAAACACATTTCATCGTTTTTCAAAAACTGCTCTGGATTAATGTCGGAATTTTCGATGTCATCATGTAATGTACACCTACATCTCATTATGGAATAGTTTTTAACTGCCGAACATCCTACAGTTGTTGATATCTTCAACATTTTTGCTTTGAGTGACTTTAACATTTTCACTCATACCCCTACGACATAGACGACATCTGCTGATCCGATTGTTTTTTTTTGGAAGATAAGCGGTGAGAGCATTCCTTCGTCTATATTTTAATTTGTCTATAGTTAAAGTTTGAAGAAAGGCTATAGGGCTCAAGAATTGATATAACATTCACATAGCGGCTCTGCCAAATTCGGGCAGCTTTCGTACTTTAGCCATGTTTTCCGCCCAAATCACTTCCATCTTGTACTTTTAGGTTCTTGAGGAACAATTTTTAAAAATAGAATCACATTCTGAGTCGATTTATGCATGTCCGTCCGTTCGTCTGTCCATGTATTTTTGTAAACAAAGTACAGTTCGCATTTATTGCCCTATCCAGATGAAATTTTGCACAAATCATTTGTTTGGCCCAAGGACGACCCCTATTGAAATTGGAGATAATCGGTCAAAATTTAGATATAGCTCCCATATATATCTTCATCCGATTTGCCTTTTATTGTGCACCAAACGTGTAATATCAGTCCGAATAGTATGGAATTTTGCACATACGATCAGATTGAACCTGAAAATAAGTATGCCAAATTTGATCGAAATCGGTTCAGATATAGCTATAGCTCCCATATATATTGTTCATCCGATTTGTTATTTTTGTCCTCCGCAGCCGTAATATGCACTCTGTAACAACAATATTTGGGGAAATATATCAAATATAGCTCAGAAATATATTTGCTAAATTTTTTCGAGATCGGTTCAGATTTGGATATAGCTCCCATATATAACTTTGTCCGATTTACCTTTGATTGTGCACCAAACGTCTAATATTAGCCCAAATTGGATGAAATTTGGCACTTACGAATTGAGTCTAGAAGTTAGTATGTCGAATTTGGTGAAGATCGGTTCAGATATAGCTATAGCTCCCATATATACTTTTCATCCGATTTGTCATATTTGTTACCCACAGCCGTAATATGCACTCCGTAACAACGATATTCAGGGAAATATATCAAATACAGCTCAGAAATATCTTTGCCAAGTTTTATCGAGATCGGTTCCGATTTGGATATAGCTCCCATATATATTTTTATCCGATTTCAAATTAATTGTGCACCAAATGGGCAATACAAGTCCGAATTTAAAAGATACAAATGCTTCGGCATATTTAGTCCTTTGAATTATAATTTAATAATTATAATCATAGCGTGTTTGATTAAATTCTCCCATAAAAACTTTTAATTGTTTTGTGGAGCTCTACTAAATTGTAGTGGTGTATGGTATCATAAAGTCGGCCCCGCCCGACTTTAAGACCTTCTTTACTGGTTTTTCTATGAAAATTTGAAATAATAGCTTTTATTAAGGCAATAGTTTTCATTTCGTAATTTCATAAAAAAAAGAATTCATACCAGAAATATTTAAAATATTAATCTTACAAATGTAAAACAAGTAAATAATTATTATATAACGCCATGTAGGGTATCCAAAAATTTTCCTGGCCCCACCTCGCTGGTGGCTGTCTATACCCAAAACAACGACCGCAACTAAAGATTGGATGATATATTTCGATGTTTTTTTGTTTTCTTG